GATATAAATACGAATATTTAAATTATGCAATGGTCAGTTTTCAATCAGCATCTGACAATTACATTGTGCATGAAACTCAGAGTTGTACTCCTGGTGAGGAAAAAAATGTATATTTATTATCAAATTAATATATATATATATATATATATATATATATGGCTAAATTACCACCTAGCAACTAACTGGTCTATCAATCACAATCTGTTTACATGTATTTATTTATTTATCTATCCCAGTTTGCTCCTCTCTATCTATCCCAATTGCTTATCCATTTTTAACCTCTGATCATGTTAAAGTCTATCTACAATATCTGACAATGTTAGCATTCTTCTTCTGTTACTTTTTATGAAAAACAAGCAAAATTTTTTTTTTATTGAAAAACAATTTTTTTTATCTGGCAACTTTTCTCTGTTACATTCTATTAATTTAATCCTTATATTTTACAAAACAATATTGTTTATCATCTGCTCTTAGTTATAGCAAATATCTTGCAATATTCCTAAATATTTGCCATTTAACCTTGTTTTTCCTTTGAAGTATCTACTGTTACAAGTCACCTTCATACTCACAGACCCATTAATAATTATATCAAGATATAAACATCTATCTATATTTCAGAATATCTACATTTTAAAAGAGCTGATTTTTTTTGTCTGTCACACACTGTCTTCGTGTTACTTTGCATGCATGTATGTAATGTATATGCATGGGTGTATATAATGTGAATTACTTGTATGTACTTGTGCCATTTAATGTACATAGAAGCACATACACACAGTTTAACTGAGTCTGAAATAATACATTCCCCTCCCATTCAGTCTAGACAACTCCTAACTTGGGTTGAGCAATGAAATCAATGTTGGAGACATGAAAAAAAATGTCAAATTTTTAAACACTAAAAACATCATATAATTATAAGATTTTATTGAAGTTTTTGGAAATTATTTAATAGTAAATAGAATGATCTAATATCTCTTTGTTTGGGCAAACAATTTAGATTTGAAATTTGATCATCTTGACATCAGTGAAGTGAAAGTTACCAGACAAGGAGAAAATTGTGAGTATATGAAATATCAGTAGTAGCACATGTTTTGTTATCAAAGCTAGTCATGTGTGGCTCTGGGAACAACAGAAATTAAGAGGTGGTTCCATGTTCCTGAAAACCTCCCCAATCAGAGGCCTTGCTGCCAGATTTCGTCTATCATCATGAATGTAGTTTTTTGTTCACTAAGACATATCCATTTCATTTTACACTGTCTTCAAAGAAAATTTTTGTATCATTTTTTTTTTTTTAGATAATAATAATTTAGCAGTACAAGTCTTACTAATTAACTAATTAGTTGGGGGAGAAAAGGTGGAAATTGTAGTGATAGAAAAATAAAAATTTCACAATTTAAAAAAAAAAAAATAAAAGTACCCTTCCCCCAACCATTTTGGCTTACCATAAAGAAATAAAAAGGAAAAAATAAGGAATTTAAATAAAATTTGAAAAATAAGGATTTAAGAATGATGACCATTTGGCCACTTTTATTTATTTTTTTAATAAATAAAAGTGGCCAAATAGTCATCATTCTTAAATGTAGGTGAAGAAAAGGGATTGTCAAATGAGTCACACCTGTGAACCAATCAGAAACACAAGAGACAATTCTAAAATGAATTCATTTGTCTTGGGAGGTGAGGGTAGTGTATAAACACAGAGTTGATCAAACAAAGGAACCAGACAGTCTATGAATTAATTCTGTCCTCCCATGCCTTCCTTATTTTACCTAGACCCTGAAATCAACAGTGAGTAAGATTACTATTTCCAACTGAATACATACATTCATGTTAACATTACAAGGACTCTCTCTCTCTCTCTCTTATCAGTCAGTTATGTGTCATGCGTGATACATGTTTAGGCGTCATGTACATGATTGACGAGGAAATCCCCACTACACTAGATTGGCATTTCTTTCTGCAGTAGACCAGTTGCCATCCAAGGCTATAGAACTCAGTCTATTTACCCATAGCTGGGAGGAGAAGAAGAGGGTTCATACCTTTCCCAAGGGTGTTAGCACGTAAGTGAATGTAATGGATTTGACTGGAATTTGAACTCGGCTCTCCGATTCCTCAATCCGAGCTGCTATCCATTACTCCACCATGCCCCCTCTCTCTATCCTATACATATGCTAAAGGACTTGGCTGTTCAACATGTGAACCTTCTGATATCAACTCTTTAAATTTTGTATGTTACTTTTAAGATATATAAAATTTTATCTTTACAAGTAAAATATATCTTTGTTTGTATTAATTATCTTGTCATTCATTTTTACTTAGCCAAAAACTTGGTGTTTATTGGGATAAGGACATTAACCGAATAACCTGGAAACTCACAAAACACCAAAAAAGCCACATTAAATCCAAAGTCATATATCCTACACAAGTGTAATCCTGTAGTGAACCATGTGTTTTCATACATGTTGTGAGATGATCACATGTGGTACTCCTGAAATATAAAGCCCACTACAAAAATATGGTGGACTAGAGAAACCAATAGAAAATGTAACAGAAAAAAACAAGAAACCAATATACATGTACAAACAAATATGTGTATTAGACAACAAAAAGGGTTTTTACAAAAGACAAAAACATTAACTTGTTTGTGTGCATGAATGTGAAGAGTTTATGTTTCAAAGTATATTTGTACGTTGTGTGTGTAAAGTTCATGGTGACTTCATAGCATTTTCCCTTAAAGGGACAAATGCAATTTCTCCACAGAGATTACATTTTGTATATGAGAGAAGGCAAAAGAGGAAGAGTTGAAAATGTTGCTTGGTATTTATAATGTGATATGCTCGAAACACATAGACAGATTTTTGGCAGTAAATTAATTTTAACTGTGCAGCCATAGTGAAAACATGACATTAGCACTAATTGACCAATCAGTAGTCAGAGAAATATCAAGGCGCTGTGATCCACTTTTTTACAGATTTTGTCGATTGCAGTACTGTTACGTAGGAAATGTATTGGAATCTTTTTTAACAAATGGAATTAGTTAGATCACAAATAAAATATTATTAAATTGAAGTAGAACACTAAAAACCAATAAACAATAATCATCAACCCTACAAAATCATAGCTTTTATCTTTTTTTGTTCATGCATTGTTTGAATTTAATTTCAACTTTTAGTTTTCTCTTAATTTAATTATCACAAGGCTATATTTTTGTTAGTGGAAGACAAATCTGGATTCACAATTAAGCAACTGTCAACTCTGCCACAAATTATTTAATGTTAAATGTTTAAAATATGAGGCACCCAGTATGAATCAAACTCATGCTAAAGATAGGATTTATTGGGAGAAAAGGAGAAGAGTGAACATCAAATCTCTTATCCCAAGTATTTTAAATGGCGCAAATGAAAATGAACAAGACTCTTACTCTGGTATGAAATTTACATAGAAACAAACATTTATTACAATGAAAAAATTATTTTTCACAATATAGAAGTTGTACAACTTACAATACAGGGCTTGCAAAAGATTACCCATTCTTTCAAATACAAATCAGTTGTCTTTTTGAAAAACAAAGAGATTTTAACAATTTTCTTTTAGTGCAACAACTCATATAAATCAATTTCTAAGCAAAAGAAGCAAAAAAGAAATTGATTTAATTTGAAAAGTTCACAATTCAAAATGACAATGGTTCAAAGGTTGGAAGTTGAAATTTGAAAGTGAAAATTGATGTTTGAAGCAGGGTGAGAAAAGTTTGACCTACCTTGGGGAATCCTCTTCTGTAGTCCCTTTGATAAATATTCAAATTTTGGAATAGGTGTCTTCAAGTCATTCATAATATAAGAATTTACAAGGTTCTTCTACTACTACTATTACAACAACAACAACAACAAGTGTAGCAGACTTTATATGTCAAGACACTTAAGACTTTCTACCTGATGACAGCCTTTCACCCAAGTGGCGTAATCCCTTCTCTGCAGCAGCCTGAGTCAGTCCACCTCTTTCTGGTCTATCCTTTTCTACCTTTGCATTTCAATTTTTTCCTCTTATGTAACAAACACATGGATCAAAACTGACTTGTAAACCAATTCCTTATACTTTTTATCTGCATTAGTTAAAAAATCAAGAGAGACCATCCAATAAAACTGTGCCTGTTTTCAATTCAAATTTGCCTGGAAAAGAGAGAATGGATCTGTGCCCTTTCCTTTTATACTGCTATATGCAACACCACCTAATGGGTGTTAGGAGAAGTCCCTTAGCAAAGAGAGGGGTAATCCCACAGATAAATCATAAAAAATTAATACTACAAGAAAGAAATAATATATGGTCATGGTTAATTTGAATTAACAATTTTGACAACTTGATGACAATAATTAAAAAGTTTATGATAGGTAAGGTCATATTTTCATTGTTTTTAGTTCTCTTTAAAATATATATTTATATTTTTTGATTTGTATTCTTTACAACAATCTTTTAAAAAAGAAATAAAAATTAGACTAGTTTAAATAAAAAAAGACTAGTTTAGCAATTACTTTGCTATATTCTAGGCCCTTTTATACATCTGCCATGTACAGATATAATTTTATTCAAAATTGAAATAGAAAAAGCGATTCTTTACAATTTTTGATAAAATGCACTTCATATTCTCATTCTTTATCTTTTTGAGAATTAAGATTGATTAAAGCTATTGTTGTTCTTTGATTTATTTTTTACCAATTATTAAATATTTAAAATACTATGACATGATGAACCAGTCAGGAACAATGTTAAGATAAGTATAATTTTGTAATTTTAATTTAAATTAGGTTATATTTTTGTATGATTAAAACAAGATTTTATCATAAAAATTTATTAAATATAATTTTTTTAATTTCGCTTTTCATTTCATATTTTCAATTTTTGATGAGTGGCATTTGGAATTGCAAAGTTTCAAGTGACCAAAGTCATAAGAATAATCTAACTTGAATAGAGAACTCTCTTGTTTTATAAGAGCAGCAAAAGTGTGGAACATGGATGCCGAGGCGATTATTAATGATTATGTTTCTGCTGAAGATTTAAAGGTAAACGAAGAAAACGATTTCCTTTAAAATATCCCTTGTCACCCAGAGAAAGTTTTTCTTCCGCGTATAATTTAGTTTAAATTCATGCAATCTTTATTTAGCATCAACTTCTATGACGACGACACCTTCCTTGTATTTTTTGTTTCCTTGGACAACAACAATGATTATTTATTTTAAAATTAACGTTTGTTGTATTAATTAAATGAATAAAATACCAGTTGTAAGTTACTTACAGCTGCTGCTATAAAGAAACTTATACATTCAGCATAAATGAGTTACCTTTTAGTTTGAACTCGTAGGTGCAGTTGTCACGTGTAAGGTAAGGTTATTTAAAAAAAGAAAGTAACATTTGTTCGTCTCTGTTCGATGTCCTTGATTGGCATTCCATTCATACTTCCTTATTTTTTATTTCTATTGTCAAGACAGTTTGACCCATTTTATTCCTCTTTAGATCAGTTGTTGTGCTTTTACATTAAGCAAACTTTACTTTCAAATTAATTTCTTTATAAAAAGGTGATCGTTGAGAAATTTAATCCGTAATTTAATCAAATCACAAGTGGTATATTGTTCGATTTAAGTACCTTTTTGTTTGTACATAGTATTTAATTGCCATATTGTTATGCATGCTTCTTCATGAATAACTCTTCTCTCTTCGAGATACAATTATTGATGAATGAATTAAAATAAATACTCCAGGTATTGAAATTACTTGCTTAGTGAATGTCCTGTTCGAATCTGTGGTGTTTAATTGCCTCTTCTTTCACCGAACAAAAAAAATCAAGTTCCGTAATTTTTCAGTTAAATTAAAAATAATTAATTAAAAAAATCATTGTCTTTTTTTGAAACAATCCGAAATTGTTTTGCGGCTAATGTAAAATAAAATGTAAATGAAACGGCTTTTAGTGATTTTTTTTTTAAAAGGAATGAATTTACTTTTATTGCCCACAACAAAGTTTCTGAATTTTGGGCAAAATTTAAGAAACATAAGAATCTGAATAAAGGAAACATTTTGTTTTAGTTTCATTTTGTCGCCCAAAAATTAACTTTCAGTGAGTTAAAAATACAAAAATGTTTGTCTTGGTTGAACATTCTTTCATTATCAATAACGCAATAATAATAATTATGTAATCATTACCCTCCACGCCACTTTTTTTCCATTCCGAAATTGGAAATTCTTGATTTTGTTGCATAATATAACTTTTTAAGTCAGAACAGTTCGATTTTTTTTGCCGCTGGCTTTTTTTTTTTTTTTTTTTTACGTTTGCTTTAAAGTAAAAGTGCGTAATCACCAGGATTCAAATAATTGCTTCTGCCTTTGAATAAAAAATAAAAATCCTTCTACTTTTCGAATCTTTCGTGTCCAAATAATCAAATTAACTAAGTTTTATTGTATTTTTTTGTGTGGGTGTTTTTACGATTTGTTGATTAACTTGACTACAATTTTTACTTTTTTTGTTGGTGTTTTCGATTTATGGACATTTGGAGAAATTCTTAGTTTTTCTTTTTATCGATAAAAAATAAGACATTTTTTTATGTATACAGAGAAACCCGGATATATAAGAGAGATTTTTTCTGGTCCCAAATTAGAGCCTGTGTTAAGTTAATGTATATAAAATAGACCAAACCAGGATATAAGAGAAACCCGGATATAAGAGACTTCTTCTCCGGTCCCGACAACTCTCTTATATCCGGGTTACACTGTATTTAAAAAGGATTTGCCTTCAAGAAGGAAACTAAAGATACTTTTGAAATTGATTCATGACACTAAATTTTAAACATTCGATTTAATTTCAATTTGTATGGAAAAAACCCCAAAACTTTTCGAAGTCTAATGTCAGTAACTACTCACAGCACGGAACATATTGAAAGCAAGTGACAGCACTGTGGAAACAACGAATAACTTACCGAACGTGTTGTGTGAATGGTTGGCAGAACAAGGACGTAGTGACGGTAAATAGAATTGGTTAACTTAAAAACTAAAACTTATTGGAGAGCAATGATCGCCCATGTTTTGAAGAGACAGTATATAAAAAAAGACTGTACTGTGATCGTAATGAATGTGACATTTTTACTGAATATGGATAAAAACAACTGAAAATTATTAATTAATTTTTATATTATTGAAGATTTTTAAATAAATGCCTTCTATTTCCTTATCTGAAAAATAAAACCTACGTTAAGGAAAAATCTTTTCATGACTATTTCCTCTGGATTACTTTTTATTTTAGAGACTCAAATTTAAAACAGGAAAAAAAAAAAAAACCCCAAAAAACTCAAACACTTCTTAGTAGCTTTTGACTTTTTAGAATTTAATAAATTTTCCATACTACTAACATCTGCACATTCACAACCATTTTTGTTATACTTATTAGGACCAGTGGACGTTCAGTTTTGCAAGTCAAGGTCATTAAAAGTCCAAATGGCTGAAACAGTTATTACTGGCTCTATTCTTTCTGAAGAACATGAAAATTGAAAGACAGTCAAAACTCATAATTCACAAATGAGAAGAATGTAGAGAATATATATCTCAAGTGAAAAGTAGGGAATATATATATATATATATATATATGATTAAAATGAAAGGTACTTAATGTGTGATCCTTATAATATGTAGATTAAGTAAGCAAATATCTGCCACAAGTGCCAACAAGGTAACTATGTGGGAGAAACAGGTACAGAATTAACAACAATAAGAAAACCCATCATCAACAATAATTTCCCAGTTGCAAAACGCTTCAACCTACCACGTCATAATACAGATGACATCAGATGTGTGCTTTTGAAATCTTCATTCAACAGCCAAGAGGCAAGATGTAGAGCAGAGTTTAAATTTATTTTCAAAATAAATTCAAACATTAAAGGATTAAACAGGGATTTGGGCTTACTCAGAGAGTATAATTTCAATAGGGAGACCTCCAGCCAATAATGTTCCTCTTCTCTGTCTATTCCTCACATAGTTGAAAAAGAACACCGGCATGTTTTGAAAATTCCAATTTTAAAATTTATCTCTTCGGCCTTTGTTTTAGTAAAAATGTTAATATGCAATAAATATCAATTTTATTGACAATATTGGTATCATTTTGTTGGCTTTTTATTCTTCAAATTTCATTAACTGGCCTATTTAATCTACATACATTTTCAGTGAGCAAATTAAAAAAAGAGAAGATAAAAGTGTTTAACAGGCTGTTTCATTTGTACCCACTTGTTAAAATAATGACCAACATTCATATTTATGATTGTTATAGCAATATTTTGTTGTTAAGTTCAAATATTTAACAATGTGGTAGGGGAATTTCTACAGATATTTTATTGTCGTAGAACTTGCCATGAACTTATTCAACCATTAACTGATAAATTAAGATTCATCAGAAAAACTGTGAAATTTTCCTGCGTTAAAAATAGTATATGATTGTAAACTTGCATCAAATGTCTAGTGGCTGAAGTAAATATGTAATTTTCTTATTACTTTTTAGGCTCTGTACTTTGTATTTTATTTCACATTGGGCACTTTCATTTTATAGCATTAGCATCTCTTTTTGTACACATATATAAAAACAAACTATTTTTAAAGGGCTACAAATTTGGTTAAAATACTCTTAATTTGGCAACAACAAATACAAATAACTCAAATCTTGATTTTGCTTCAAATGTCAACACATTTGAACCTTCAATCGTGTGATTGATAATGTTCTTCAAATTAACATGTTCTTTACTTCCTTTTTTTTTTATTTGTCCTCTTAAAAGCCATTCTGTTATATTTGCACTGGACACAGGAAGGCCTTAATTTTATACATTTTCAAATAATATGCAATTCATTTAAATACACATTAGTAATTGATAGAAATTTTCAATTAGTACAAGCTAATTTTAATTAACACAATTTCTTTTTCTCATTTTGCGTCATTGTATTAAAATCCTTAAATATTCTTGTAACTCTATCTCTTGCCTACAGCTGCCAAAAGTAAAAGAAGTCATTTTGACTGTTGATACTATATGACGGTATCACAGTCATGTTATTACAACTTTATAATATAATATAGTCTGTATTTTTTTTTTTATTTAAAACTGAATAAAAAGAACTTTTCAGGTAAAGTTGGTTATAAAAATACAAAGTTTATTAAATCAAAGCAAGATATTAACATGATAAATAGATTGAAATCTCAAACTTCAACAAACTGGAATAAAAAGTGTCAAGTAGAAATATCTATTTTAGTTTTTTTAATCAATCATGAAAGATTTTTTATCTGTTGGGTTTTCAGCATGGCAACCAGTAGAGCATCTTCAGATTTAAATTTTCAAACTAGATTTTTTTTTTTTTTGCAACACGCTATTGTTAAAGTTATCTGATCACCAACATTTTTTGTCAAGATTTACAAACTCTACATTTCATTCAATTTTGCAAACCAATCAATGAAATTTGAATAAGCTGATTTGTTTAGAAAAATACTTTGACAAAAACCCTACTTTACAGTTTAATAATTTCTTTAATTTTATAGGACTTCATGGTAAACAATATTTTTAAAAAATTTATTTATTTTTCCTTTTTAACATCAAAGAATACATCCTTAGGGTTTCTTACTCTTGAGCATGCATCATACAACTGGCCATGTGTAAATATTTCTTTCTGGAGCCAAATTCCAACTTTTTGAAGTGTTTGGACTTGGAACTTGTTTATAGTACTCACAAATGCAGGGTGAACTGGAAACTGGATTCTTGTATATAAAAACTTAAAAGATATGCAAAAAAACAATATTGCATTTTTATTAAATAAGTATTTCTTCTCTGAGTCATTGAATTGTTTTTAAAATTGTGGGAGCATTTTGAATGTTTAAATAATAAAACTTTTAATTCCCCCCCCCCAAAAAAAAATAAATGAAAATATATTTTACTAAACTCTACAAGTGTACTTTGTACCCCCCTTATCAAGTTGCACTTCTCCCCAAAATTTGGTTTTGATTGGTCAATATATAGCTATTTTAGCAGGTGTGATGGACAGATGGGCTAATGCAAGTCTTAGGATTTTATATATAGATAAATAGTATCAATTCCTGAGATTATTGTAAGATGCATTTGTCTTAATGGAAACCTGTCTAATATATTTTACACAATCATACTACATTATTTACAGGTGTTGTTACACTGTATAAATTAGATTTTATTTTATGAAAATCTCCAAAATATATGACTTGCCTCTTTTTACTTTGATCTGTCAAGATAAATATTGCTTTAGTATTTAGCCAAAACAACTTGTACAATAAGGACAATGATTTCTTTACAGTATTTCAAATATATATGACCTTGTATAAACAGTTTGTACATTAGTAAATGCTAGATATATAAAACTTTTAATATTTTCTGATGTAATACAAAAGATTTATTGCTGAAGGATGTGGAAAAGTTCTCAGCCCAACCCACTTCTGAAAATCCAACTAAATGATCAAATATCAGAATTTATTTTGGAATCCCTTCTTGGTTGGGCTGAGAACTTTTCTGTCTCTGCTGTTTAATTGTGGCTGCTTTAATTTTTTTTAATAACAATATATCCTGGACTGAAAATAAATCTTGCCAAGAAAATATTTTGTTGCAATTCCTGATGAGTCATTATCAGTTTATATAATAGGTGTTTGCAAAAGTTCATGGTGCTCTTTTTTGAATATTAAAAAATGAATACCAAGAAGTCATCACTAATTACAGGGAATAAGAAACACAATTTGTGAAGAGCCATGATTGCCTGTCTTGAAGGGACATGACATAAAAAAAAAAAATAGTATAAATGGTAATGGCAACGAAAATAAAATAAAACTATTTTTTGTCACCAAATTCCCAGAATTATAAACAATATGGAATCCCAATTAAAAGTATTATATATATATATATATATATATATATATATATATATATATATATATATATATAAGATATATATAAACGTTTTGGTTGTAATGTGGATTTATTGAGAAAAATATTATACTTTGTTTTACATATGAAATTATGTTTTACATTTGTTTTATATGTGAAATTATGTAAAACAAAGTATAATATTTTTTCTCAATAAATCCACATTACAACCAAAAACGTTTATGCACCCTCTTCTTTTAATATACATACTTTTCTCTCGTTGAACCACTACAACATATTTTTTTATATATATATATATATATATATATATATATATATATATATATATCTCCAATTGAAAATAAATATATAAGATTAAAAATCTATTGTAAAAATTTCCAACAATACTAATATTGTATATGAATTTTCTTGCCCTTTGAGTGATTGTGCTCTCCCTTATGCGCAATCATCAAATTCATATTTAACATAGAACTACCATCTTATAACCTGGATAAAAGTGCTATTCTTGCCTATATTGATAAATATTTATTGCACAGCATTGATATTTCCACGAGTATACAGCAAATATACAATATGCATATACTATACAACATTATACAAAAAGACAATTTTTAAACCTTTATAATAAAATCAAGATCTTCAAGTTTGGAACTGCGATTTCAACTTAGTGAAGAATTTTGTTTATCAGCTCATGGATTATCTTATAATGCTGTATGTAATGTCTTTTTAAAAATATTTAAAAATTGAAAAAAAAATATCTGCAGTTTTTCCCTGATCTTAATAATTTCCAGCAGTATGGTTGAAAATGCTTGATTATAAACATTTTGACAATAATTACATTCACTGAATGTAGGTTATGCTTTCCCTTGTACATAAGCAAGAAAAATGTGACCAAAGTGACTAAATATTAGAACTTTTCTATATTATTATTATTATTTTATTTTACTTTTTTTGAAGGGCTTTTCAGGCTTAAAAATGTTCAGCTTCCTCTCTTATATAAATAGTTTCAAATATGCTATATTTATGGGGAAAGAATGGGAATAGGGTGATTGTAGATCAGTTATGGGCAAACTGTGTCCCATATGCAGCCTGTTTTGGCTTCCTGAATTGTACACCTAATTTCCTGAGAAAAATAATGTTTTTTAAAAATTTTCTTTTGTTCTTACATGTTCACTCACACATACATAAACAATGATTAAATAAAATGCTTCTTGAATTTTGTAACCTTTTTGTTGAAGGCAACATTTTCATTATTTTAAATTCTTGGTGATTTTCACTAAAGAAGATTATGTGTGTAAGTCTCATTTGCTTTAGAAACAGGATGCTCATAATAATTTTTGCAAGGAGAAGAAAAATGTGTTTTATTTTTAAAATTATTTCTTTTATTTTCAAATGAATAAATAAACAAATCACATGCACAGCTGTGTGTCATCTGACTGTCATCTGTTATAATGAGACTTCATTTTTTAATTCTTGAGAAATCTTCAAAACCAATCAACTTTTCTAAGGCAGATGCTTCCATGTTTGGTCTTATGTAGTGAAAAAAGCTGAGGCACCTTCAACGCAAAATTACCTCAAATCTGTGAAACTGATAGTCACTAAGTAAGAACCCAAAAATACACTGTATATACTGTGTGTATGTGTGTGTGTATATATATATATATATATATATATACACACACACACACACACACACGAGAAGGGTACGGTGAAGTAATGAATTATGGAATTGGAGAACTGAGTTCGAATTCCAGTTGAATCCATTACATTCACTTGGGAAAGGTGTGAATCCTCTTCTCACTCCAGCTATGGGTAAACAGCAGGACAGACTGGGTTCTATAGCCTTGGATGGCAACTGGTCTAGGAGAAGGACAACTCTGAATTCAAAACCTGCGGAAGGTCGTTTGGGGACCTTGTGGCACGTAGTGCACCAGGTCTCTGTATTTGGCCCTTCAAAAAGTGTGGATGGTCTTGCATGAAACCTTCACCACTATAATCAAATCTCATATGCTGTTGTTGGGCTATTGGTTTCTAGGAACTGATCTGCTTGACCCTCATACATCGAATTTGACGGGAGAGTCGTGAGTATGTGTGTGTATATATATATATATATATATATATATATATATATATATATATATATATATATATATATATAATCAAATTTATAACATATGCATGTTATAAAATCACTACAAAATTTGCAATAAGAATAGTGTTTTGGGTTATTGAAATTTCATTCCATGTATGTATATATATATATATATATATATATATATACACACACACTTTTAAGCTGACTTTAAATGTTAGGAATCTTTAAAGCAAATTTCTTAATTGCCTTTGCTTGAATGCTCTTTGATGTGCTACATGTTACTTTCAGATCATTTTTATCCTTTTTTTGTTTCCAAGTTTTTTTTTACTTTTCATGGGATTTCTCACTTCCCAACAGATTTAATAATTTTCACAGAAATTAATGATTTATTTATCTATTTACAGAAATATGAGCAGTTGTACATAAACCAAGAGAAACGAGGTGTAATCAATGAAAAGACACATTTTGACTATGCCCTCTGTTTAGTACGTAGTAAATACACCAATGACATAAGGAAAGGCATTGCCTTTCTTCAAGGTTTGTAACTTTTTTAATTGTCTATCAATTACTTCTGTTTTGTACTTTAAATTATTTAATAATTACAATAAAAATAGAAATTAAAAATCGAGCAGGAAAGAGTAACAAACAAGTTTATAGTTAGTATAATGAAGTAAATCATAAAAACAAAAACGTAGAAAAAAAACTCAGAAAAACCAAAGCTTAACTAGTTTTCATTTCTATTTCTTCAGAGTTCTATTGAGGAGTGAAAGAACTTAATATATATAACATAACTATAACTTTTGTTATTTCTTGCTGTTGCTTCATTTTAGTATGCCTGTTTTCACTGCAATTATTAAATTTTGTACCTTTTTTAAAATGATTAACTAATTTTGCCTAAATAATAATAAGACAGACATTTTATTTTATTTGTGTAGATTAAGATGACCAAGGGAAGTAACCACTTATTAAATAATAAACAAAATCTGATTTATCCCTCTTACCACTATATTTATACACATGAATAAATATTTAACTTTCATGAGAAATTTGACTTTTCATGACCTTCAGAGTTGACATATCAATTTTACATATCCTACCTTGTATGCCAAGTTTATTTGAAATCTATCCAGTAGTTTCTTAGTCTCTAGCTGATAGATAGACAGACACTTTATCATCGTTATGATGTGTATGTAGGGAATTTATCATTCATTTAATGTAATTGGTTATTTACAAGGTTGAGCCACTCAGTGTGAATCAAATTTGCCTCAGTAGTAATGATTTGTTAGTGTGCTAACCATTATCTATAGTAAGGTAGCTTAAAAATAGAGAATGATGGATTTGTATGTCATTCTTGCCAAGAAGTCATGTTAATTTTCTTTGGATCACTCCAAAATTTTTAGTCATTTTTGCTTCATTGAGCCCATGGATTTTAAAAGTACAAAACTAAATGAAAGAGAATTTCCAAACTGTTTTGTATAAATTCTTGTCATTCTTCAACCAATACAACTTTTATGTCCAAATGCAAATATTTTTGTATGAACTGATGAATTATATTCTTTTTGAAATTGAAACCAAGTTGTATGGAGTATTTGGTTCCATCTACTAATTAGGTCTGTGGATTAGCACCATGAGGAATTTTACTTGGTAAATAATCTACTAATTTCAATTCTGGAATCCTCATAACAATAAGAGTTTTATATGAACTTTTAATTTTCAGCATTATCCTTTATTTTGAAAGAAAAAAATATTTACATTTTTGCCTGATAAGTTTTTAAAAATGTAAATTCCCCAAATATCAAAAAAATCTTCTAAAGGACTTGGTCATTTATGAGCACCAGGAGACATCTGTTTTGTGTCAGTATATAAGAACCATATACTGATAAGTATTTTCCATTTAGGAAAGAATCTAAGTTAAGTTTGGATTATCAAAATATTTTTAAGTTGCTGTTTATTGAGAAAATTCAAACTTTTCATGAATTCTAATCATTGCATCTATAGTGACTCAGCAAACAGTACTATATGGTTGTTTAATTCCAACTGCATTTGAATTCAGTAGATGTAGGCAAGGCATTACTCCACAATTTCCCACTTAATGTTAGTCAATCAAAATATTTCTGGCTGTATAGGAAAAATATATATGCTTAATTTTGCAATTTCTTACCTGACCAAATTTTAGTAGTTATTTGTGTCATTATGTTGAAATTGTAGTATATTGAAAATATAAAAGTATTGTCTAGTGTCATAAATTAAGGTAAATGTTTCTGATACAACAGAGCTATTATATGTCAGATTCTTTATGTCAAGAGAGAGTATCTTGTATAAAAGTTTGGTGCCTGTAACTATAAACCTGGTTCTAAATACTTGTGTAGTATGTGACTGATCTCAGATGATGCTGAAATACTTTGCACTCAGTGTCCTTCAGAGAAGCTAGGTGCATTGGTGGGTTGACCTGGGAGATGTCTTCCTAGCCTATAGGTGCAGATCCATGCATCCAATGTCAATAGATGCCTCCTGACATGCAAACGTGTAGTTGACCTAGCTGTACCTAGGATGTACATACTCGGGGAAAAATCATGACAGGTATATAAACCCTCATCCGTGAGGGAGAAGAAGAATATATTATCATATCCTAGCAGGATGTAGAATCCATGTTTGGAGAAGGTCCCACAGACACACACACACAATCATTTACAGTCGTTGATGAAATCCAGAGGTAAGTAGAAGGTAATATTATGGATGAGAGATTAAGTCATGTATTCCCATTTGTAATGGATAATGATAATATTAAAAAAAATTAAAAAAGAAAAACCTTGATTTATTTCTTTTGGCAAAAGTCTCACAATATCTGCTTCTGTTCTCTAACTACTAAGCTCTTTCTTGTTAAATTTTATTTTAGCTTTTATTCTACCTTTTCGTTTTTTTTCTTTTACAGATATCCTACAAAAGACGAATGACGATCAATCACGGCGAGATTACCTTTATTTCTTAGCAGTTGGTTATACAAAATTGAAGGTAAGAAATTGAAATCTAATCTTGCCATTACTTTTGACTAAACATAGAAAAGTCATGAATGCAGAGAGTCTTACAATTGTTCAGGGAGGTGACTTTCTGATGCTATCAGCCTAGAGAGTTGAACTCAGCACACGGCACCTTTGGAAAGTGTCTGAAAACCATGCCACGGGTTTGTGAGTGAAATTGGCTAAATGGAACTGTTGATGGTTGTACTTGTATGTAAATCATGTAGGGTTTGGATGTACTGGCCTTGTTCAAAAAATTGATCACACCAAATTATGCTCTCTCTCACTCAGAAACTGTAAATAAGGACTAGTCAGGTGTCTGTAATGGGGTTTGGCTAACCACACTGGCAGATGGATATTCTCAGAAACAAGTAGTAGCTGGCCATTATTAAAGAATACATGTCAAATAAATTAAAGCACAATTTCTCATCACAAAAATACAAAATTATCAAAAGTGATATGAACTTGCCATGATAGCCAAATGTTGAAATAATCAGTTGTTGAATATTAAAAGCTCCAATAATTCACCACTGATGTCCTTTGGGACAGTGGCATTGTGGATATAAGAGCTGGTTAAATGTCTTGTTATCTAGTAGCTGTAAGTTCAATCCCTGGATCAGGTTCAAACAAGAACTAGCATCACAGGGATGAACTAATGCAGTAATCAACAGATATCCCATATCAGTCAATGGAAACCTGAAGGTGACCAGAGTGTACTTGGTTGAAATGTTATCTATAATAATCAAGATGTGAATAATAGTTTGAATAAATTAAAGTATATTGACAAGTCCTCATCTCGATGAAATGGCATAAAAATAAATAGGTGGAAAACAAATAACATGTTGTAAATTATTCTGCTTTTTATTCAACTCATTTTCATTTTGTTTCTTGTTGTTATTAGTATGAAGTAAGATTTAGACATTTTTTCATAGTTGAGTTTTTTAAGGCTACTAAAAGATGTAAAATGAATCCGGCAATTAATTTTGTTTGGGTTATTTTTAGAGTTATATTTTAAATGTTTATTATTTCTTTGAAGGAATATGAAAATGCTTTGCAATATATCAAAATGGTACAAAGTCTGCAGCCAGAAAACCATCAAGCTCTAAGCATGGAAAAATATATAAAGAAAAAATTAACCCATGGTGAGTTGAAAATTTGATTTATAACTTCAGTTGTAAACATTTTTCACTTGTTTCTTTCAAATGCATCATTGGTAATGGAACATACAATTTGGTTCACTTTAATTGGTTTTCAAGATCATTTTACAGACAAGAACTCACCTTATACAGAAGGGTAAACAGTGTTTATCTTAATTCCTGTTTGCACATAATTCTTAAATTCTTGGTGTAAGATTATTTTAGCCTTAGAAAATTTACTTTCTTGAACATAATTCAAATATGAATTCTCAGAATGTTCGCCTATCATCCAGTTCACATTCCTCCCTGTTTTTTTTGTTTTTTTTCAAAAGTAGAAGTTTATCCTTTGTTTCTTGTTTAGGATTGGGTTTCCAGTTCATTTTAAAGTCTACTTCAACTCTGCACTTCTAACATCTCCACCTGAGCTTTGAATTAATTAATTATTTTTTTATCCTTCTCTTCTAATAGGAGTAGACATGTTTGCCTACTGACCAGATTACATTCTTCTCCCTTCTTTTGAACAAAATTAGTTTATCCCTTGTTTAGGTTTGGGTTTTCAGTTCTTTCTAACATCTCTGCCTAGGCACTGAAATTTTATTTACTATTTATTTTTGGTTTTTCCTCAATAGGAGTAGATAGGTTCGTCTATTACTCGGTTTGCACTTCTTCTTGGTCTCTTTTTGAATAGAGGAGTAGAGGTTTATCTCTTGTTTCCTGTTTAAGATTGGGTATCTGATTCCTTCTAAAGTGTCTTCTCATTTTCTTTTGCTCCTAGTAGTCTCTTGGATCTGAGAGCTATTATTGCCTTGGGTTGAATTGATTAAAAAAAAAAAAATTCTTTGTTATTGATACCATCTAACCAATATTTGTCTGTTATTTAAAGAGGAAATAGAAAATGTCATGTAAGAACCAACAGGAGATCCTGACAATTTAGATCATAATTACCTTTTTATGCTTTCCTTTCTCATTAATTTTGGCCAATAGTTTTTTGGAAACTGACGGTATTAGTTAATATTTTAGTTGTGAAATTTCATCATTTTAATGTTCCTGATATTTTATTTTTAAATAAAAGAAATAAATAAAAATAAAGAAGATAGTTAAAAATAAATTCAAGTCAAGATAGTTTCATTTACAGAGAAGTGATGCTTTATTGAAAATGAAAATAATTTTTTTTTACTATCAGTAATATTAAATTTTTAAATGAGGTGTTGTTACAGTTTATGGGAAAAGCCAATCAAAAATATTTATCAGCATCAATTCTTTGCTATAAGCAAAATATGTCAAACATTTATTGATCAATTTTAATAACTAAGTAAACATCTTATTTAATGCAAAGGTCAGTCAAAAAGTAATGCTTGTTCTTTAATAATAGAAGCATACAAAGGTTCCAGAATTCAAAATCTAGTTGTCAACATAGTCTCCTTCCTTCTCAGTCAACATAGGTGGGTCAGTCAAACATTAATGCCTGTTCTTTAATTACAGCAGATTTAATAGTAGAAGTACACAAAGCATTACCAAAATGAACACAAAAGTCTCCAGATTCTAAATCTAGTCGTCAACAGTGTCTTCTTCATTCTCAATCATGGTATTCCAACTTTGAATGTCTTGAATTTTCTTGGCTATATGCAAATTACCTCTTTCACCTCATCATCAGTGGAGAACCACTCTTTGTTTCTTCAGGGGCTCTGTCAGCACTATGGTCACCCATTTTGCACAGACTTTTGAGTAGCCAAGAAACTGCACTAAACTGTAAGCACTACCATGGCCTCACCTAAAGAGTTTTGCAATAGTGATTCTCTCCTTGTTAGCTGTAATATGAGCATCAACCTGTTTGGCCATAACCCCACTGACAGCAGTTACTCTGTAGGATGACCATTAAGTCTACTGATTCATTTCCTTACTATGTTTCTATCTAGTCAAGCCTTTTCAGAAATATATTATGGGTAGAAGAGAAAGTAACTCCACAAATTTTTCCTGAGATTCTAGATATTTTATGGCTTATAGCTAAAAGCAGTCTAGGCATAAAATTAAACAGGCATTACTTTTTGACTATAATAAAATTCCAAAAGTGCACACATTGAGCAGTATTCAGAAAACTGTATTTTATCATAATAAATAAAAGGGATAAATCAATAAAAATAAGATATAATTTAATTCATTTACTTTTCACCAGTTTATCTTGTCCAATTGATCCTCTTATGAATCAACATTTTTAAAGCTTTTCACAGTTAACACCTAATATAACCCTACCAAGGAAGTGATAAGTTTTATTTAAAACTGGATTAGAATAGGGTTAAAAAAAATAGACTAATTTGAAATGTTAAGTCATTTAGACATTTTTGGAAACAATTTCCAGATTGTTTGGATTCTGCTTATTTTTTAGTAAATTATGGCATTTGTAATTTATATACAATCTTCTCTCTTTCTCTCCCTCCAAACTTGATGTAAAAAATAAATTAATTGTTTTTGCTTTCTTTTATTTTGTAGAAGGCCTGATGGGTATGGCCATTATTGGAGGTGCTGCTTTGGCTGTGGGTGGCCTGGTGGGTCTTGGAGTAGCATTGGCAAAGAAATAGCTATCCTTATTCTTGAGGCCAATCAGAGTTGGTCAGTGGATGTGACAGGAGTAGCTTTTTGGAACGGTTCCATGTTCTACACAAATGGCACAGACGTAGAACAAACAGATATGTTCTGTGCCTCAACCAAAGAAATCTGACAGCCCCTCTCTCTTGCAACAACTCTTTCTCTACATACGACTTGTGAAAAATAACAAAGAGAACAGAAATCACTTGATGATCGATGTTTTTTTTATTTTTTTTTTATTTTTGGGGTTTTTATTATTTTGACTGGGAACCAAATGTTTATTAACTTAATGTTTTTCTAACCAGATTGACACATAACTACATATTTTTATCATCTTGTCTCTGAAACAAGAAGAAAAATGTGTCTGTGTTTAAACTTTTTATATTAAGAAATTTTCTACTAGGATTAATTTTTTTTTTTTTTTTAAATTTTATTTAAGCAGTTTTTCTGTTTTTTCATTTTTGGCTGTGATTGTTTGTTTGGTCTCAGTAGTGTTGTTTTTCATTCATAACATTTCTTCCTTTCTAACAAAATTTCATTAGGCTTAGATAAAGGGAATTTTTCAGTAAACCATCTTGGTCTTTTAAAAGCAAAGCCTTAAAAAAAAAACAAAAAAAACACAAACACACACATCAAAAGCTGGAAAATTCTCATTCGTTGGCAGTTTGTAACCATTTTTTTTGTTTTGCTTACAAACTGGCAACAATATTTTCATTAGTTTCGAAAAGTCAAATGATTTCACATTCCTTAAGAGAAATAATAATAAAAAAAAAAAAAAAAAATTTTTTTTTAGTGTTAATCTGAAAAATGGAAAGAATAAATTGAACTATCAACATTTGAGAGTGATTCATTATTTGATGAAAATAAAATTTTAACAAGTGAATATTTTTTTGTTCTCTATTCTTTATTGTAAAATAAATCAAGTAAGAACAACTCCAGTCAACTTCTTTTTCCTGAATGCACAAAGTTTTTGGATCCATCGTTTTTTCTTTTCATTCACATCAACAAATAACTGGAATAAAAAAAAAAAAAAAAAAAGATTTTACTCCCATGGAAAGTTAAGTGTAAAGAATTCCTGAATTAAACTTTTAAGTTGCGGAGGTTATGAGAACTTTGGACACAGCTTGTTGGTCAAAAATCTACAGATAAAAAATAGTGAATCATTTCTATTTGCAGGTAAATAATTTCCTGGGGGAGGACAGGATGTTGTGTGCGACAACAGAGATAATTATGTAAATTTATGCATCTTCAAAAAGTTATCTTTGTCACTTAGAAAAGTTGCGCGAGTTTCACTTCTTTAGGAGTTTATACACACATACGTGCTATTGATACACTTTATATATATATATATATATATATATATATATATAAAAAATGTGATGATTACTAAACTCAGTTTTGGTACCCTAACTGATGATTGGACTTACTACTTTTTGAAACCATTTTGTTAATGAATCATCTACAGTAGACAAAGGTAGTGGTCATGATAAATGTTGACATTAAATGAAAAAAAAAAAAAATTGCTTGTTTAAGCAAAATAAACGTACAGCAATAAAGTAACTCATGGTGGGGGCTGGGTTTCCGTGATCAGATAGCACCAACACAAAGGAGATCTATTTGAGCCATCATGGCCTCCCACTCCCATTTTTGCATTCTATTGCAAATACCCAAATCTTGACTGAATTTATAAATACTTACACTAGGGTGTGCATATGTGTCAATATCAACATGAGATGGAATTTTCTCTGAGAGGGAATCTGTATTGATTTTATCTTCAAGTTTGTTATTAGAGAGCATTCCAAATATTGCATCATCGTGGCTTTTGTCTTCAGGTAATTCCTTCTGTTGGGACTTGAAAAAGAAACAATACTATTAATATTATCAAGATTAAAGGATGACATCAAAATAAGAAACATTCTTTTCACTCGTAAGAAATTCAAACAGTACAAACTAAAATGATGTAAAAAGTATCAAGACAAAATTAAGCAAATGTTCTGTAAAAAATAGGTTTTGTTTCTTCAATCACAGTTGTGTCCATTACTAACAAGGACAAATAAGTCTTTTGCAATGAATTTAATGAGGTTGAAATCTTTGCCTTTCATTGCAATATTTAGATTTTTCTTTTTTATTTCCACTAATTAGTAAAGAAACAATGCGATTCTTTATTTAATGTAGATAATTGAATTTAAAAACTCAATAATTTCTATCAAAAATCACATTTTCTTTTTGTCTTTTGAAAAGCATTTGAATCATGAAAATGTCACGTTTGATTGATTTCCCAATTATTGGAAACACTGATGACTTTGGAAAGCAAAGAGTTTAGGACCAGAGTAAATATTAAGAATTAATAACAATGAAAATAATTGTTAGATGTCTTATTTACACAATTATCTAGATTTTAAGGTTCACCCTGTAGAAGGCCACTTGTAGAGGCAGTTTTTATGGATAAGGAGGAGGAGATAATGGTTAATCCTAGACTTGAACAGTTTAAGATTGTAGTGATCAGGGAAATATCCTCTTAGGAGTCAGTTCCATAGAGCAGTGTTCAAAGGAAGAAGCTCTTTCAGTGAAACTGACTTTATGGAACATGGAGTGTGGTGGGGGGAGGGATGTGTGTGTTTTGATACAATAAAAATGGCATGGTAGGTCCTATCCATCCATGAAATTTAAATCTGGCGGAACCAAGGAATGTAGTTTGTCTGAGGACTTTACATTGGTAGTAGCAATAAAGCAGTGAAAGACTTGCCACATCCCACCTGCAAAAGAGAGGTTAAAGGAAGGAAAATAATTTGTCACCCAAAAGAACTTGGAGACAATTTTGAACTCTATTGAGGCTGGAAAGTGACGACTGAGCAGCTTCTGCCAAAATATGACAACAGTATTCTATTTTCGGCTTGATCTGGCTCTTTTAAAGGTAGATTCATGCGAGGTTAGGTTCTTAATGGAGCAGTACAAGGAGTTGACCATTTTTACAGTGCAAGTAACAGTTCTTACTCTCTACAAAACATACTGACTTTCCTCTCACAAGTTACCTTACTTTCCATAGATCCATTAATAATTCCACCAGGAGCAGAAACGGTTACACTACTTAATAAGATTTCAAAGTACTTACTACATCTAGTAGTTAGCCACATTCAGAAGATTGAAAAAAGATTAACAAAGAATATATATCTTAAAATTGTAGGTTATTATAATCATTAATGTAGAGACATTTTTAAACTGACCAGAAGTTATCTAAAAGTAGATCTTTGAGAAAAGTCATTAAACATGCACAACATTTTCCTTTGGATACTTCTTTTTAACATGTTAATATCAGGCTTAATCATAATCAAAAAAGATCTGATATGGTAGACTATATCTGGACAGAGAAGGGCATAGAGGTCATTCTTTCTAACTGATAGGAAACAAAGCTGGAGTATAAGAAAATTGAAAGAAGTAACATATCAACACATTGAAGTTTTTGTTTTTAATTATGAGTAAAGTGGTTGTTGGGCAACTGCTTCACTAAATATAAATTTGGAATTGCTTGGCTACTTGGTTAACCTATCAGTGTTGAAAAGGAGTTGGTTAATTCTTGGTAGATTAATAACAATTTTTTTCCTCCTTAGAATAAATAAATTTTCCCTTACAAAATATAACTGACGTGGGGTGATGTATGAATTGGCAGAAAAAAAAGTTCAATCATATAGAAAAATATTTTTTCTCTATTTTATACTATTTATATTAAAAAAAAATGGGCTGTAGAATTTGTGGAGGAAAATAAAAAGTTCTAACCTGTTTGGCACGTCCAGGCAGGGACCCTGACTGAAAAGCTGACTGTGTGAAGGCAGCGCTCTCTATACTCTCAACCTTCTCAGCAAAATTTGGCTGTTCTTTGATTGTTCGCTGCTCCAGAGTCAAGTTGGATTGCTCCTGCATTTTGCGGAGTTGTTCATCAGCTGCAGCTTTTATATAAAAAAAAAAAAAACAATACAATAATCTCATGAATAAGTTGATATTTTCTTCATCAAATTGTCATCTTGTAGAAAAGACTAATAACGTTTAATGGGTATAAGCATTTTTAAAGTGCAGGACTTTAAGGGTTTTAACATTTTTATGAGTGAATAGTTTGCATATACAGAATTATTCATTTTAAAGCCACTCTCCTCATAATGCATGCATTATGCTGTCAAAAAGAAAGAATTTCAACAGTATTTAAATGGCCAAGACCTCCATTTGAGAAGGTACAAATTCTTATTCCAAATCGGTAGAACTTAATTATTACCAGATGTGTTTTTCTTTCTCCATTATAATATTTAAAGTCTATAGACAAATATGAAAATGTTTATATATGAAACTTTTTAAAAAATGTAATTAAAAACTATGTTTAGTATTCACCATATTTTGAAGAAAGAATTCATGAAATTCTCAAAGAAGCCTAAATAAATTTCTAATGTATCCACATACACTGATGGTGGCTTAAGACTTTTTTACAATAAAAATGAAAAAAATTGATGAAAGTTGAGTTGATGGCAGTAAGAAATAGTTGTGAAGTGTACACAAAAGAACATAGAATTCTGAATCTGTGAGAAAAAATATCCAGATTAATTTAAAGATTTAAAATAAATAAAAAAAAAATCATAAGAACAATGAATAGAAAAAAAAGAAAACCCAGGTTTAATGTAATTAAAAATAATGTGAGTTTTCTCAAAATATAAGACTGCAAAATTGATTCTTAAAAAAAAAAAAAAAAAAAAAAAAAAATAGATTTTCAGAAAAATTACTCAACACTAAAATAGTTTATTTCATGTCAGAAATGCATGATTTGTGCCTGGGTTTTTAAGCCCAGGCACAAATCTTAAACTGCTGAAATTGTTCTTACCTGCAGCTTGCAATGCCATTTTCAGTCGAATTTTGGCCTGCTCACTGGGTTCCTGTAAAAAAAAAAAAAAAAAAAAAAAAATCACATTGACAAGTTGTGACTAATATTCTTATTCAGTTACAAGGTTAAACAAATGATTCAAATCTTTTGGATATTTTTTGTAATGCAAATAAAATGCATGTTATTATTAATGTAAAAAAAACAAAAGAAAACCCAGATAGTCTTAATTATTGATTGATTTGTTTTTTTATGGCTTATCAATCAAAAAAATATGTTTTTGTCTTTAAATAAACAGAAATGTAATTTTTGGATTGTAAGAATAATTTTTCTTTTCTTTTTGTGAGTGAATATTGTATTAACAGATTTTGGAGATAATAATGATATTCAGATACAAGTCTTACTACTTAACCAAAGGTTATTTGCACGTAAGTAAATATAACAAACCTGACTTGAATTTGAACCCGGCTCTCTGATTTCTTATTCTGAGCCATTATCCATTACACCACCTACACACTCAAGCTTATAGACCACGGTATTCCCAAGTGGCTACTCATCTAGGTACTGACCAGGCTTGATGTTTGGTAATTTGACAGGAACCAATGTTTCAATGTGATATGGCCGTAAGATTATTCTGAATTAGTTAAAAGGTTAAAGAAATGACTTTGCACATCTTTTGGTTATTTTTTGTAATGCAAGTGGAGTGAATGTTACTATTAAAGTACATTTCCATTTCCTTTAAAAGAGATTGTTAAAGAGTAAAGTCAGCCAAGATGAATTGATTTAGACTTTACTTTTGTTTTTTGTTGGGAATATTCCAGCATTAAACAAAGTCTATCATGGATTATAAGTCATGCTAGGTTAAGAGACACTGCTTGGAGGGTGGAAGATCAGAAGTGGTGCAGTCACACAAATAAATGAGGGTTGGTTTTTTTTTTTTTGTATTTAATGAGTTGTCAACAGTAGCATAAAAAATGAATAGACTCCAATACATTTGATTCAGGTTTAAATTCAAGTATTCAATATTTTCAGCATATGATAATTTAGTTTGTAATTTGTAAGTATAAAAAACATACTGACCAGATTGGACACTTGCAAAAATTTAAGAATGTTGCTAACAAGATTCCTGTCAAAAATGAGTGGATTACTTATTTATGCTGAATTGGCACTTTTACCTCAGATGAGGTACAGTCCTAGCTGAAGTATTAACCTATGAGAAAGGTTTCTGCAAGTGCAGCAAATAATAATTAAAGTGTGTAACTCTGGGTGAAAGGTATGTGGGGAAGGATTAATGTATGTGCTAATTTTCAGGATTCTATATCAACTGGAAAAAGGCTTTACCAACTTCATGACCCATGATATTCAAATCTGAAGTAAGAACAACAATAGCCAAGATGAAGAGAAACAAAGCAAAACTAGAATGAGATTATAGATGGATTCTGACAAGAAAAAAATTGTCTGGCATGGCACAGTGAACCAATTTTCATATCAATTGATTCAATATAATCACTCCAATTCATGTCAGTGGTAAACATGTACCCAAGAAGGCACAAAGTATTGTGCTCCTGGAGTTTGGTTTGGTTAATGGCATATCAACTTCTTATGGGTCATTTAATGCTGAAATTTAATTTTCTTGGGGGCTTGGTTAATTTTTTTTTATTATTAAAATCAATTGATGGAAGTTTTTATTATAAAAATGTATTTTTATACTTTTATAATGTTTTAACCCTGGTTCAGAGGTTCACTATTTGCCCATAGCTAGGACCCTAACAGGTGCTAACACCCTGGGTTAGGCTGGACTTGGGAACAACAGCAATTAAGACCTGGAGTTTATCATCAGCCATGCTGATGGCAGGCAGGAAAGGTTAAATGAAGCAGTTTTGCTTTGGAGTGATTAAATGAAATCTAATTAATGAAATGGAGGTATTAAAATTTACAAGCCATTCCTTGTCCAAGTTAACAACTGATTGGAGGTCCTTTACAAGAGCAGTTGCCAGTTTTACTTTGTCAGATCTGTCAAATTTGCTCTTAAGATGGGAGTAAATATTTGTGTATTTTTTTTAATCATTTCATCCTAAGCAAGGAAATAATGCCGCTAGGATGCATGGTGTTGCAGGGATTGAAAGAGAATGAGAAGATTTTAGTGAGGAGAAGTGAGGAAAAAGGACAATAAAAGAACAGAATTTAGGAAGGCAGAAGATGGTGATTGACATTGCATTTAAATTTTTGAAGATTGTAAGTGGAAGGGAAGCAAGAAATTGGAAGGGAGTTTCATAATTGAGTCGGTGAAGAAAAGAAACTTTTAGAATAGAAAAAATGGTTGCACCCAACTAGTTCAAAAGTAAAATGATGAGACATAGTTACCAATCTATTAGCAATGCTTAAATTTATGTAGTCAAGGCACCAAAGAGGAAAGCTCATCAGAATAACTGCCATGAAGAAAAAACAGAGGGAAGCCATATCATGTTGGTGAGAAAGGGACTGAAATCGAGATGTTAGGTAAGGATCAATTACATTACAGATTCTTCTTTGAATTTTGTCAAGAATCTCAAGAACCAGACCAGATATAGCAGCAGTATTCAATGCATAGATGAATGATGGCTGTTAACACATTGGCAGTAGACCTGGAGAAATGGAAGCCATATTGTTTATCCAAAAGGAGACCATGTGAGGTAAGATGTTTAACCAATTTGTCATTGATTAGGGCCTCTAGTACATCGCCAAAAAGATGAGACAAATAGTGCAATAATCTGAGGGATCAGAAGGTTCTCCAGAGTTTTTAAAAACAGGAACTACAGAGGAGGGCATACAACAAGCTGGAAAGTAAGAAGCAGCCAGGCATTTATTCTAAAGTTTGGAGAAAACAAGAGAGTCAGTTCAGGAGCACATTTCTTTAGGACAATTACAGAGAGACACACTCTGTCGAATGTGTGGCTTGCATACAAAATAGAGAATGAATTGAGTATAGTAAAACAGAAAGAGAAGCATGAGGATGTTTTTCTTCCTGCAGTTATTTAATTGGTACAGCAATATGATTCTAACAGTATTAAAGGAACTACCAAATTTTATTATCAGTAGACAGAAATTTAAGATCATGTACAAAGCAAATGATGTGCTGTTGAACTAAAGAAACTATTAGACAAGATAGTCAATGAAATCAACAATATGAAAAATAAACATAAATTATAAAAAGATGCAATTTTGTGAGCAGGCCCAGATGTAAATTATGCAATGGGGTTGTCAAAATTAATTGAGTACTGAAATCAATTATATGGGTAATCACAGATGATGAAAAGTGTGGCAGAAATTTTAATAAGCATAGGCAAAGATACTTTTAAAAAGAGATTGTTAAATAACATTAGAAAGGAAAGAAAGTGTGCTGCATTGCTACATAATATCTATCCTTCAATATGGCAGTGAATGTAGGACTATTGCATCACAACTAAAAAAACAAATGTTGAGTATACCATAAACAGAGCCAGTGTCAAATGAAGAAGATTTAAGAATAAGAAATGCAAAGAAACTGCAGCTAACAATCATAGAGATCAGAAAGAGACAGCCCAAAAATTTAGTATATTTAATGAAAAAAGAAGGCGTTGAGAATTTAACACACTCAGGATACATCAAAGTCAAGAGAAGCAGAGAAAAAGCAATGAGAGACCCACTTGACAAGTTTGAGCAAATGGATAAAGGAACAAGTATCATCAAGACAAATGGATCCTTGAGGACAACAAAAGACAGAAAGTTGTGGAGAACCATTTTTGTTCCTACCTTGAAGAGGCATGATACTTAAAGAGTGATTATTATTCATTCATTTTTGTCTTTTATCATCATGTTAAAGAGTTTAGTTCAAAACAATAAAAAGCTAAACAATTCACCAAATATTACAAACATGTGGATGGCTGGAGAAAGGACCAGTGTTCAGTATTTCTGATGGGTTTGTGGATTTCCTTTTTATTTTCTTCTTTTCAAAATAAATTTAAAAAATAAATTTTCTTACCATCTCAGCAAAACCTGGAATTTTCGCACAAAGGTCACTAAAAGAAAAAACAAAAACAAACCTTTATATCAAATTCAATTATTTTTTCAAAATATTACTGAATAGGAAATTGTTGGTTTGATAAATAATTTTATTGAATTCTAAGAAGCCTCAATGTTCTTGAAAAACGTCTAGAATATTAAAACAAATTAATTGCATTATGAAAGTTATTAAAAAAACACTTCCATAAAGCAGGCAACATAAAACTTTGAAGAACTCATTTTAGTTGCTTTAGATGGATTCTTGTCATTATTCCATGAGGAATTTAGATGAGTATCCCAATTCTTGTCATTTTTACCATAATACTTTGGCTGAATTTTTGAAAAATGAAATGATCCTTTTAGATATTATTTGATTTCGTCAATATCAGACAAATAATATTACAAATTTTTTTTTGTTTCTGTGACTTACCACAAATATTTAAATTGAATTATGAAGTTTTCTTTTTAAAATCTAAATTTTAAGAAATGATTAACATTTGACTTATTTAATTTGCTGGAAATCCAATTATTTAAATTCATTTTTTAAAGGAACTGAACATTAATATATTTTCAATTTTGGATTTAATATCTTGTAAGATGCACTAAAAAGTATTATCCAAATATCCTGCAACACCTAATGCACTGGAAGAAAAAGCTTAACATGAGTTGTGATGTCTAAAATGCACCTTGTTGTTTAGCAAAATATTTCATTTATTTGGGCTTTTTTCTCACTCCACTGCAGGAGTCAGTCATAGATTTGTCATAGAAAGCCATGTGCTTTGTTTTACTCTGCTATGCTGACCTAACATATATTGTCAGGGCTTTGAATTCAGAGTTATCCCAGACTTTACCTTATCAAGGCAGGAGAGTCCAGTCTGCTCTACTATTTTATCCATAACTTAGAAGAGATGGATTCATGTTTTACCCAAGGACATTAGTACAACATCAATACAACAGCCTTAGCTGAAATTCGAACCTGTCCTGTTGATTCCATTTCCTACACTAATAAACTAACCAGAAAACATGGCCCTCATTCAAATGTAAATCCAACTATCAACTTTCCCTTTTATTATAACTTCCTTTTGTAAGGTTATTGTTATAAAACACACTATTTGGTATAAAATAATTTGTTAAAGTATTCTCTACACATAATGCTATTGCCATACGCCTGTAGTATGAAGACTGACTCCAATACAACTACTACTAACCTCATACCATGGAACTCTTTATAGTATTGGATGAGTTCATAGTCACCAGGGCTATACTCTTTACTCCACAACACCTTTGAAAAAACATTTTTCTTTTCTGGTGATAAGAATAAGAAAAAAAAAATTTTCCTATCTGCTTGCCTGTTTGAAAAGGGCATTTTTTAGACAACTGTTCCCAATGCAACACATTCTGCCTTTGGTGATTGGCTTTCTAACAGGGTTTTATTGTTTAAAAAAAGTGAATGAGTTAAATTTACTCACTCTTTTTTGTTTTCTTTAATTTCTTGCTTAATTTCAGGACTCTCAGATTTCTTGGAATGATAACTGCTCTTATCATACCTGCAAAAAATAACAGCATTCATTTTGAATTTGTATTTAACTACAAATTATTCAAATCAAAACTTAGCATAAACCAGTCTCTTAAAAAGGAAGTCACAACTGGACACAAGCAATTTTAAAAATAAATTATAGAGCAAAAAAACTTTGCTTTCCTCTGGCTTTTTACAGTTTTTTATTCAAAAATGTAAATATATTGTAATATATTTCATGAAATATAATCCACAATTTGACAAGGTGTGGCCAAGCAGACTATAAGGGACCTTGAGGAGTGACTGACCAAGATCAACAAATCAGGATTGCCACGACATTTCAAGGCATGACTTTTCCAGCACACAGTATTACCCTGAATATTGTAGCCATTCCTCCTCTATGATTTTTTGATTACCACTGTGGAAACGTCAGAAAGAGCAATTAGTAATTGGTTGAGAAGGTGGCTGGGTTTGCTCAGATGCTTAAGTGGTGTGGCCCTCTATGGTAACAGCAATATATTGTGCCTTCTCTTTAGTAACCTTGTGGAAGAGTTCATGGTCGTGAGAATGAGAGAACGGTTGCAGTATACAGCATCCAGAGATCCAAAAGTGGCAGCAGCTGGGATTCAGACAAGATCTGGCAGGAAATGAAGCACTGAAGGAGAGTTGTGAGTGGTGGAGGAGAGACTTTGGCATGAAGCTATAATGGGGTCACTAGCTAAAGGCAAAGTGGGGGTTGAGTTTTTTCCCCCAGTCCCTAAACCAACAATGCCAAAGGCAAAGAAAGACACACACTCATCCAAGATGAATCTGTGTGGATGCAGTTGAAGCTCAATAGTGTGAAATGGTCAGTCTAAGTTATCAGGGAGCCTGGATGAAATCGGAGAATGCTGAATGAAAGAGAATTACCTAGTCAGAGTGATGGCGGTCAGACTTCAGTGAAGTTCAATTTCTTATCAAATCAGTGTATGATGTCCTGGTGAGCCCAACTAACCTGAGGATATGGGGAAAGAGTGAGACCCTCTTAATGCCAACTATGTAGAAGGAAAGGATCTTTACAGCACATTCTTAGTAGTTGCCCCAAAGCTTTGGGTGATGGTTGGTACTGCTGGCGCCACAACCAGGCCCTTAAAGCAATTGCAAATGAGATGACTAAAGCTATAAGGGCTAGTAAACATCAACCAGGAAGGAAGTTGAATCAGATTAATTTTGTCAAAGCTGGAGCTAACATACAGAAACAGGAGAGAGAGAGAGAGAGGGAGAGAACAAGTCTGTTATCTTCCACAGACAGATAATTAGCAGTTGATAGTGGATGTAAAGACCCAGCTAAAGATCCCCAGACACATTGCTGTAACATCACTCAGACCAGACCTGATATTGCAATCTGACAACATGAAACAGTGCATTATTTGGGAACTGTCTGTGTCATGGGAGGAATCCATTAATTACACTGGCAAACCAGAGAAAGAGGTTCAAATACCAAGAATTGGTTGTCAGCGGAATTCATGGAAACTATACTATGACCAAAACAGAAGTTTGGTTGCAGGGGTTTTACAGGACATTGGAGGCAGCAAGGGGGGGGGATATAGCACTGAAGGACATTACCAATGAAGTTTTAACTACTTCCAACTGGATTTGGCTTAAGAGATTGGAGCCATAGAAGAAGAATTGTGGACGATAGGGGAAAAAAAAATGAAAGGAAAGAACTCTTAAAAACATACTATTGATCGGGGGTGGGGGTGGTGTTACAAGGCACAATGGAACAATAAGTTAATATAGTGAGTCAGGGCAGTTGAATATTTATGGATAATGGATTTAAGGTTTAATTGGGGAGGGGGGGGAAGAAGGTTCAGTGGTTTAAGAACGAGTACTGGTGGGAAGGGTTGATAATTGTTGGTGGATATGGGGGAGGGGGAGGCGTCATGTATGTGAATGTTTTCTTTGCTTTTTGTCTATTTCTATTTACTTCCAATTATTTGTGGTATTTATTTCTATATCTATGCCTAATTGTCCGTTTCTGTTGAATGTAATTTCAGAGGGCAAAAACCTCAATTATTATATTAAGTACTAGCACAGAAATCAGAGTTTTGAAAATGTCGTTTTTTTTATTAGTATTAATTGGTCAGATTTATTTTGAGTAATACTTAACAGTAATTATGTGTGTAGGTTAGTGAATTGAGTAGTTAGCCTATTTTTTTAAAATAGGTCATTCAATTGTTTTATTCAGTAGGAAAAAAAAGTGGGGGGTGAAAAAGAAAAGGGAAGAAGAGAAAAAGGAAAAAAAAGAGAAAAAATTTCAAATAAAAAGTATGAGTTAATTTTGCAGTGGCTGCTTTGTGCACTAGTTAACCCTAGTTTCATAGAAGTTAATGTAAATGGGGGATAAATAAATATATGCATGTGTGCCAGTGCATATATATAAATTCTGGTATTAACAATGGTAGCTGGAATATAGATGCATATGTGTGAGTGTATATGCATGTTTAGACTGAAATAAAATTTTTATGGAATTTTGTTTGGTTAAGAGCATAAAGTAAATGTAAGCTTAAAGATTTATCTGATAGTAAAAATAGCAAATTTTTTAGAAACAATTTCCTGCTTTTACAAGTGGTAAGTCAGATTAATTTTTGGTGAAGCATAGGCGCTAGTTTAGGTACGAGATAGATTTGTGTTGGGTACACATGTAGGTTTAGCTAATGAGTTAGTAATGTTATAGAATTAGTAACTTAAAATGAATGAAACATTTGGATTAAACTATACAATAAAGAGACCAGCTTACTGAGTTAGAAATCCAGGGGAGATTAACTTGAATCAAAACCGGAGAAAGTAAAAAATACAAGTATATAGAAGGTGGTGGTGGTATTGGTGAAAAGCCTTTTTTTATTTATTGGCTGACATTGACTGATGGATTTCAATAATAAGAATGGTTGGATTTGTGGTTATTTATGCTTTTATGATTTTGCAATGACAAGGTGCATAGCACGACACTTTCAAGGAGGTGGCCTGAGTCAGGTCGGGGTTGCTGTTTGAGCCGATATGATACAAAATCCGAAAATCAGGGATGAGGACAGTGCATTACTAAAGACCACCCTTGATGCATGAAAAATGTATTATGCAACTAAAAATTCTGGTATTAACAGTGGTACCTGGGAACAGAACTAGTGATGATAGGAGAGACAATTGGCAGCCTGACAGGACAGGTTAACTATACCAACTTGCATGCTCAGTGAGAAGCAACTCCAAAATGCTACGACATACCTAAATACATCATACTCCTGGGGGATCTCTAGAAGCGGCATGAAGAAGAGATCCCTAACAAGATGGATTTATTGGAAATGCCTGGTTGGCAATGAACAGATGCAGATGTGGTAAGACATGCAAAAATCAGAAGCTGGAAGATCCATCAAACCTGGATGAAATGTCTTGAGGAGGGAAACCAGGAGCAATGTGCAGGTACAATGTGCTGATAAAATGGAGGAGGTGCAGAACCAGGATTCACACCACAGAGCCCAGCCACTCCAAGCTACTGTTCCCCTCATTCAGGGCATGAAACCCTGAAAGAAGATAAAGTGCCCCCCAGTGAACAAGGGGGCCTGACAAGATTTTGACACTGACAAGATTTGTGAAATACTCTAGTTAGTTACGAAGGGAGATGTGGACAGATGACTAAAGTTCATGACAACAATAAGCATGGTGTCAGAGAGATTTGGTTGCATTGAGCCTCATCAGCCAAGGATGCCCTACACTGCCAACTGTAGGGTGAACAGAATTAAAGAATTAAGGAAAGAAATAAGACTGGAGAAAGTAAAAAACAGTAGTATATAGGAGTGGGGACGTGAAAAACCTTTTTTCATTGGCTGATGCTGACTGATGGTCAGACTCTTGGTTATAGCACTTTTATGATGTTGCAATGTCGAGGTGCATAGCACGATGCCTTTCAAGGAGGCGGCCTGACACATTCAATCAGGTTGGGGTTGCTGTTTGAGCTGATATGATGCAAAACCCAAAAATCAGGGATGAGGACAATGCATCATCGAAGACCACCCTTGACACATCAAAAATGTATTATGCAACAATATGACAGGACTGAAAATCAACGAGTACAAATGAAGAGAGACTGGCCCAAAAGTTATTTCTGTTTCTAATTCAGAAATTAATATGTCTTAAATACATTTTTTAATTAAAAGGTTATAATAAAAATTATTTAAATAAAGTGAGTAAATGATAATTATTAAAATAAATAAGTGTAAAATATTTTAAGAAAAATATCTCTATCTATAAAAGGCAGGATGTGTGTGTGTAACAGATGCACGGCCGCAATTTTCGACGGATTTGCACCAAAATTTACAAGCACATGCTCCAAGTTAGCGGGAAGGCCAAGACTGACTTTGCATTTCCCAACTCCCATCGATAGTGGAAATAATTGATTTTTTCATGCTTCTATGGTAGTTTTCATGCAGTTTGCGGCCATTTTGTACTGGCCTGAGTGAGAGCCTATAGCTGGCTACCATGAATAGGCAGGAAGATTCTATTGGCCAGCGTGAGAGCCAACAGCTGTCTGACACGAATGTTAACTAGCATGCTAGCATGCAAAAAAAAATTGATAGCTGTATTTGTCACAAGTGGGAAAAATTTAAATCTGCATGGCACTTTACTCCAATTGGCTCATTCGCTTGTTTAAACTCAACGTTGATTCTGATTCCGCAGAACTGGGTTGGGCACGAAAAAGTATTTGTTGTTAACATTCTTTTTTCATTCAGTTTTTCCAGTTACAAGTCCTTTTTTAAAGCTGATCGTTTTGTGTTCATTTTGTTTAGTTCTTTTTTCGTAACAGATTTAATGTTTAGTATAGAGCTTAGAAAAAATTTGCAGTGTGAGATAGGCAAGAAGTAAGGCATGTAGCAACATTAGCATGGCAAAGGGTACTCCTTTAAAGGCAAGGAAGGGCAAAAATATTTTAAGTGATAGTGATTGCTGTATGAGGCGTATGATTTTTGAATCAAGCATGGGCAACACCGGGCCATGCTGCTAGTCTAGAATAAAATTTAGAGAATTTCCTACATTCCATGTCATTTGTGAAATGAACTTCAACATAAACAAATTGAGAAAATTGCCCAATTTGACAGTTTTTCTTATAAAACTTTTTTTAATATTATTTTTTGAGATTTTTTAACTTTTTAAAAAATTATTTTTTATTTACCAGATGTTTTACACCTCTGAAAAAGCAAAGCAAAAACCACTTATATTAAAAAGGAAAGAAATGTTGATAATAAAAAAAAAAACCTCTTGTGACATTTGATCACCCTGGAACAGTGCAGCACACCTCATAGGTTTAGCGGAAGAGGATAGCAGGTGAGGTGGAATGATTGAAAGTCAATCAAAGATTTAGGAACTGTTTCAAAAAATTCATATGCCAAAAATAAATATGGTTTCAAAAATATCATTATGGATTACTTGTAATTGCATGCATGAGTCTCAGTATAAATAGTTATAAATAATTATTGACTGATTTTATCATTGTGATATTTTTGCATTTTATCAAGTATTAAGAATATAGTAACTAGGGTCTGCAAATTGGATCATCTGTGAGAGAGTAGACTGGAATTTCTAGCCTTAGATTAGAGCAAGTCTAGAAGGATAACTTGGAATTTCAAATTGTGGAGAAGGCAATAGTAAACCACTCCACTCTCCTTCCCAAGAAAGGTGTAGCTGTTGACAGATAATAAGGAATCTGCAGAGAGAATCATGACCACGTATGTCCAGAATGAACATGGAATTAAAAAAAAAAAAAACTAGTAGTAAAGTCAACTTATATTTTAAGCATTATTTTTCATCTAATTGTTGATAAATCAACAATAAAATGAAGAAAAGTAAAAAAATAGTATTATAATGTATTTGCAAATCAGAGATACCAGAATTAAACAAGTGCAGAAATATCTGTGAAGTGTTTTAACAGAGGATGGAAAATGCGACACTGAAATCCGAAGGCGTATTGGGATAGCCAAAAAATGCAGTCCAAAAGCTAAGCAGCGTATTGAAATAGAAAAGTTTTGCTAGAGTACTACTAAAATGTAACATGATATCTGTCCTCCTGTATAGCAGTGAGTGTTGGACAATCTCCTCAAAGATGAAGAGACAGAAATGTGGTTCTACAGAAGGATGCTGAGGATACCATGGACTGAACATGTGAGCAACAACAAAGTTTTAGAGAAAAAGGAAACAAAACTTATACTTAACATCAGGAAGAGACAGTTGAAGTTTCTGGGACACATAATGAAGAAGGTGGGCTTGGAGAATCTGATACTCACAAGATAGACAAGAGAAACAGAGGAAAGTAATGTATAACATACTTAGTAAGCTTGAGTAAATGGATGACAGAACAGGGTTTGGGAAAAATAACAGAAAGATAAAGAACTACAAGAGACAGGAAGTTGTGGAGAGCCATCATCACCTACGTCCTGAAGGGACATGGTACATAAAGAAGGAAAAGAATGAATTAATAGAAAATTCAAAGGTAATCACTTTAAAATGAGTTGATGCAGAAGTAACAAAAAGATAAACACCTTTATTTTTAAATCTGTAAAACTGCACCAATAATTTTGAGTTCTTACTGAGAAACATTTAAAATTCTAAATGCTGACCTTTTTATTCTTCGCGATTTTCTGTCCAAAGATGATGAACGTGATCGACCTCGACTTCTTGACCTGTGGCCCCGAGACCTGGACCTCGATCGCTTTGACCCACGAGATCTGGACCTCGATCGCCTGGACCCACGAGATCTGGACCTCGATCGCCTGGACCCCCGAGATCTGGATCTAGATCGTCTGGATCCGCGAGACCTGGACCTTGATCGCTTGGATCTCCAATCCAACTTTGATGAACTGGAGTGCCTGTCCTGACTTCTTGACCTTTGATACCTATCACGGTCTCTTTCTTTCGACCTGTCTCGATCTCGTGATTTCTCCCATTCTCGGTCACGGTAGCGGTCATAGTCTCTCTCTCTGGATCGAGACTGTGATCTTGATCTTCGACTAGAGTGATCCCTTGATCGGCTTCGTCGGCTGCTTGAGTGAGAAGTGGAAGACGGACTTTGTGATTTACGTTTGTGCTTCTTGCGGCTTTTTGATTTTTTGTGGTAGTGGCTGTCATAAGACGAGGTACTGTCAGCAGATCTGCAAAGAAATCCAAATCATCAGACAATCTCAGCATTGCTAAAAGATTATACTATTAAAAATGTCACAAGTCCATATATATTTGCTCAGGGAAAAGCTTATAGAAATGTAGACCATATTGGCATGGAAGGGCTATCCATGTATCTCGGCCCCTCTAACCAGCAAAACATGAAAAATGGTGCCAAAATGAGGCCGATACCAGAAGTAGATTTGATGACATGTCAGTATTTGTTGGGATGGAATCAGTCTTTTTTAAAATTATATTTGAGTCTGTAAGCATTTACTTTGTTCAAAAATGAATAAATATTGGTTGTTTACATTTGAGTCTATAAGTATTTATTTGGTTTGGGAATAAGTAAATATTAGCTGTTTCTATTTTAATCTATAAGCCTTTATTTGATAGGCAGTCCATATTGGGTGGTGTGGTGTGGTAGGAGGGTCTCACTCCTCTGTAGGGGTTGCAGTTGGCATATTTTATACCTTGCTGACAAGGCAGGACATGCACTTTTGACTGTGTGTGTGTGTGTGTGTGTGTGTGTGTGTGTGTGTGTGTTTTAACCTTATAAAATTTGGGTAGAAAATATATACAGAAATTACAGGACAACTCATCAATGTAAATGGGTTTTTCATTGATTTTTGCTTTATTTTCATTCTATTCATAACAATGAGATTTCATTTGAGATCTGTCAAATTTTTGTGTTTGTATGTTCCTTCTTTTTAGAAACAGAATTTGTTTTTCTAAATTATAAAATGATTGATAAGTTTAAAAATCAATATTTAAAAATGTCAATCTTTTATTTTATGATGATCATTAATACTGCAATAGTTATTTTTTTCTTTTTCAGTTCCCATGATGCAATTTCAATGGAAAATATTAAACAATAGCAAACAAAAGCTTTTAACAAGGATTTTAATGACATGTATTATTCAACAATGTTGAATTTAGTAGGTGAATTATTGGAGAAGAAAAGGAAAATAAATAGCCAATCTAATACTTGCACACAAAAAAAAAATAAAAAATAAAAAGAATTACTGATTTTAATTCTTGATGTAGAGAATTGAGTGACTGATGAATTTGCTTTTCTTATGGTTTATTAACCGTTTGTTGGTTATTTAAAGACAAAACATATTCTGGATTGGAATAATAATAATTTTTTTTTTTAGCGAGTGAATATTGCATTAAAATCTTTTTTAGAATAACAATGATTGTTCCAGATATAATTCCTAATCTTTAGCCCATAGAAACAGGGAAGGAGATAGATTCATACCTTTCCCAAGGATATTTGTATGGTATGTCAGTGAATGTAATGAAACCAACTGGAGTTTGAACTCAGCTCTCCAGTTTCTCATTCTGAACTGCTATCCATTACACCACCCACACATAATTTGATGTAGAGAAATCATGGAAAAAATGCTAACAAGGAAATAACTTGAAAAGAAAAAATTTATAATCTGTTTGAGAATAATGCACAAATTAAAAGACTTGGCCAATTCTGGCCATAAGTTACATTTGCAGAAGAAGCACAGAGGATCAAACTGAATAGTAATAAAACTTCTCATTGTATATTGTTAGAGTTAAGTGAGAGAGGAGGAGGAGGAGATTCATATTAACCAACCATTTTGAGTTTTGATGGCCATCATGCAGCTATAAAAAAAGCACATCCAAATGAAGAAAAAAAACCTATCATTATTTAAAAATAAAAATTTCCAATCACTGTTCAAAGTAAATTTCCTTGGAAATGCACCAAATAATCCTATTAAAATTGTGCATGTTCTTTCCTTTGTTAGTTTGCAAGTTGTTATACCCTGCCAATCCCTCATAAATAATGAAATATTCCACATTTTGATCATGTGGAATGAGGGGAAAAAGACATTCCTTAGTTTCAGTGAGAAAATGAAAAAAAGAAGGAAGAGAAAATAGAAGTAGAGAGAGAGAGATTAAGCTGATAAGAATAGATACTATATTTTGATCTCAGTTATAAGGCTGAGAAGTGAGAGTGACTGCAAAATGAAATTTTTCAGATGGACAATATTGAACGACAGAAACCAAGTAAGGCAGTTACTATAAATAAAATAACATAGTCTGCTTGATTTTTTTAAAATTATTAAATGTTTGTAATGGAGATTTGGCGAGAAAGAAGGGAAGACAGAAGGGTTTAACATCTGTTAATACCTCGTAATGAACTATTCCATTTTGATTGTGTAGAAAAACAAGACATATAAAAGAAGGGAAGATAGACATGTTTAAAGTCAGTTTCAATGAAATGAAAAAAAAAAAGATCAATTTCAAATCTTTTCATTTGTACCCACTTCTTAAAATAACTACCATCATTCATATTTATGATTGTTATTGCAATATTTTAGTAAAGTTGTTAAGCTCAAATATTTAACAATGCAAGAGGGGAATTTCTACATATATCTTATTGTTGTAAAGCTCACCATGAGCTTATTCAATCTTAAGAATTAAGATTCATCAGAATATTAAAATAGGAAAACCATGAAATTTTCATGGGTTTTTCTAGTCTGATTAATTTGTCATTTGTTTATGTTGTGTTTTTTTTTAAAAAAAAAACTAAATCCCTCACCCCCATCCTAACTGCCACTTACCTTGAACGTGAACGATGTTTTTTTTTCTTCTTATGTTTCTTTCTGTCATCATCACTGTCTGAATATCGAGCCATGGTTAACTGAGAGAGGTCAAAACATCAAGATATTTAGAGACAGGTTTAAATTCATAGTCCTTAGCAAAAAAAAAAAAAAAAGATTTAACAGTCTACCACTCTTAAACTGTCAGTTGAATTTTGTAGCCAGGATTTCAAAATAAATAAGTGCTTTTACCATTAATAACTGGCATATGAAGTTTCATCCACCAAATTCACTCATTTTGGGTTAACCGGTGACACGGATTTCAAGGACTATTCAATGCTGATGCATGCTGGGATTATCACCTTCAGGCTGATTTTTTTTCAAAAAGTAATTTCCTCGACAAATTGACCCTGGGAAGATTCAAATTTGGGTCACATGATCAGAATGTTAATATTCTAACCACTCAGCAATGCACCCATATATGTGTGTGTGTGAAAACTTTCAGATATAAATAAAATATATCTGTAAAGACAATATAAATAAAAGACAAAAGGATAACTTTTCTTAACCAAGGTGTTTTGTCCACCCCCGAGCGACTTTATCAAGGTAAAAAAGTTAAGATTTTATTTTGTAACTTGTATTTACACACAGAAGTAAAATGGTGGAGAAATAGCTTTAAGCTTTAAAATTTTGTCTAAATACAAATTAAAAAATAAAATTTCATTTAACTTCATAAAGTTCCTCTGGAGACAAAACAAGTTTTCCTTTTGTCTGGTATGCATATGTACAGTACATACAAGACAAAAGGAAAACTTCTTTACCAACATATTGTACACAGACACATATATATCTTATTATTATATAAAACTCTGTGAACCTTGTATTTTGTGTGTTTGCCAGAAGTCATATATAGAGAGTGGGGAAAAGAAAGATATAAACAAGTCATATATAGAGTTGGAAAAAGAAAGGTGTAAATTTATTATCATGTAGGAAGTGGAAGATGGAGCCAATTTTCTTATGAGAAAGTGTATAAAACACAAAATCTGGCCCCAAATAGGATATGCACAGCTGTCAGCAAGGTCCACACCATTCTTGCTTGTGAAATTTATGATCTCATGCTAAAAGCGACAGCACTGACAAACTTCAAAGAGATTGCTTCAGACTATGGTAACATGGCCCACAGTAAAAAAAACAAATTCTATCTCTTGTCTCCTCTTTACTATGAACCACACACAGGTGTTGACTTGTTCACACAAACACACATATAACAACATTTCATTGTTTCTCACATACGTACACAAAAACAATTTATATTTTATTTCAGAATTTTATTAACCCTAACAAAAAATTTTTAATCTATGACCAATTGCTTGTATTGTTGTCATTATATTAATGTTCCTTTGTTGAAACTACATTGTCTTTTCTACTGAATTTTATTCTTTCAATGAACATCATTTCATTATTCTAAATGGCCAAATTACGCACAGCCCCACAATATTTTATGTTACTGTATTGAATCTCAGCACTCCGAATTTTGACATTCCAAGCTCTTATTGTTTAACTTTCTTCAAACAGACAATTTTTTTTAATGATGAAAGCAACTTCAATAACTGCAAATAAATGTATTTTTAAAATATCTTTACTTTCATAAACTCTTCATGAAACTAAATGTAAACAGTAAATATAACAAGGTTGACCCAACGGGTTACAGGTGGTCTAGTAAATAATAAATGTGAATGTCAATGTGTCACACTTTTTTTAACTTTACACTTAGAGGCCATAGTCTAACATATATAACATTTTGGAATCAGGCTGACTCTGTGAGCAACTTAAAAAAATTCTAGGCCAGATCTGGACTCACAATCCTGAAATTTTGGATCCCCAAATTTATTACTGTGATTGTTTTCAACAAATTTTTTGTGACAAATTATTTTGTACAATAACAATTTTTATGATTTGCAAATAAATTTGGGAATGATCAAAATTAATTGTGAAATCCAGTGAAAGTTAACCATGAAATAAAAATAATTGTTTGTGCAGAAAGCAAGACCTACATACATCAAATTGTCTTTAAATTAAGTGGCGACAGAAGAATTATCGATACCGATAGGATGGCTTTTAAACTAGTATAAATAATATATATATATATATATATATATATATATATATATATATAAAGACAAAATAAAATTATATATACAAACACACATAAATATGCTGAATAACAGACAAAATAGCTATGGTTAAAATTCTTAACTTTTTAGTTTCAAATTAAAAGCTTTACATTAGATGCAAATCAAAGAAAAAAGTCTATAGTTGAATTGGTAGAATGGGGTAGTCTTAGTATATTCAACTGTTCCATCATTTGTCATCATCAGGGAGGAGGCAGAGAGTGATGGAAATAACTGATTTTGTTTTAGTCTTTTGAAAAATATTTTATAAATTTGTTTAAGATTTGAAATCATAGTCTGTCATTTATGAAATGTAGTGAGACGTCACATAGTTGACTTACAGTTTGGATTATGAATAATTGAGAATGCAAACACCATTGTTGAAGCAAACCTTATTTATGCATATGAGAGGTGACTTCCTATAGCAAGCTTGTCTTACAGACTGATTCACTAATGTAGTGAATTTGATCCTTACTGAGTGTGCCAGACAAAGTGAAATAGCATAAATAACCAGTAGGTAGTTCCGGTAAGATTACTTTGTAGGTCATTACAAATATAATAATTAGTATGAGATAATATAAGGACGACCATATTAATGAAAGCAACAAATGAAACAATGATAGTCTGAATAATTCACAGAATAAGAACAATATTTTGCAGAATTTGACTGCACCATTTGTTTTTAGGAATCCTCTATTCACTTGTAGCAAAATACTTTTATCTTTGAACATGCAAGTCATCCTTCAGGATTGTTTTGAGTAGACAATAAATGAAAGGAGTTGCCCATCTTGCCATGACCAGTAAAGCATGAAGTACGCATACTCAGTATGATTATCTCATCTTTTAATGGTAATATAGATGTAGCAATTTATACAAAAACATACAAAAGTAGCGTAATGAAAAAGGCCACAAACTTAATAAAAATAAAGTTTTATCATCAAAATGCTTATGTTATTAAGATGAAAGACCAAAGTATTCTTTGATTATTTTTTGAAAGTTTTTAGTCCTTTCTAACACCTTTGAAATTTTGGTTAAAATCTTATTTTGTTTACGTCATCGGGGTGGCATAATAATTACATTGACTTTTTGGCACTTTTTTCCGTTGAAAACACATTGATTTGGAAATTCTTGTAAAAATCAAATCATTGTCCAATTTTAATGAAATTTTCAGGATTTATTCACAAATGAATGAAATTATTTTTGAAATCTTTTTTTTTTTAAGAACATTTTGGTAAAAAATACTTTTTTTTCACATATGTTACCGCCTACTTACTTAATTTCATGAAATTTCACAAAAAAAAAAAAATTTCTATTTCCTGTATTTTTTTATTTATTAAAAGTAGGACTCCTTGGAGAAACTATATCACCTATTTTTTTTTTTTCAAACTTGCACTATTCTAACTGAAAATCTGCTGTGAATTGAAAAATAATAAATGCAATAAAACTAAGACTTTGTTTAATTAGAAAATCTAATTGCTTTTGTAAATAGATTATACTAAGGTTATTATTGTCTGAAGAAATAAAATTTTTCCAATGAATAATGAATTTTTACAAAATTTTAATTATAATAATTTATAATAGTTTAAAATCGTGTAAACTTCATCTATGAAAGGCTAAACGTGACATAATGAAAAAGGTCACGTAATCTAAGAGTTTTCTCTTTACAGAGAAATTAATTTAAGAAAATTTATAGTATTTTAATTTTTTTATTGTTGCATAAAGCATCTTCGAAAGGTAAATAAAAATCAATAAATTATTAGATAATTGTGGAAAATATGTCCATTTGTAAAAATTACTAGGTAGTTAAAAAGAAAAAAGACTTAGATTTCGTAAATTTTATGTCAGTTCTAGTCAGCCATATTGTCATCGCCTCGTCACTTCATCCATCAAACATCGTTTCAGATAAACAGAGCCGATCAATAACAAATGGTTGAATATTTTTTATGCTATATTTTCAAATCAGAATTTAACTTTGAAATTTTAAATTTTGCTCAAATAACGTCACATATTTGGAAGAGTTTTAAAATCGATAAATTTGTTTGTTTACAAATTTCTTAAAATTAAGAAAATGCCCCCCTTTTAAGAAATCGAAATTAAATTTGACATTCCTATCTATATAATTTCTATCTGAAATTCACTAGAATATTTCACTTACAGTAAAAGGATTTATTTTAAATTTATTATTTTCAGTAAGTGACTTACTGGAAATATTAAATTTTAACCTTTAGCTTTCAATTTAAAGCTAAAATGAAATCTTCAAGAATGCTTTTTCATTTTTAAAAATTCATTTTAAACCTGAGGTATCGAAACTTTATGCCGAAAAAGTGAAGGGACCTACTTTCTCTTCCATTCGTATCACACACCTAATTCTGCATAAAACTATTTTTAGTGTAATATTCAGTAGAGTGGTGGGTGGAACTAAAAAGCAAATTCATTTCCACTTAGTGTGTGAGCAGCATTTTAAAATCAATGGATAAACAAATTTCTGGTGACATTTGATTTTTCAATGTATTGAAGCATTTTTGTGCGACTCCCTACCAAAAAATAACAGCCTTCAGTTAATAATAATTACAAAAAAAAAAAAAAAAAAAGCTTGAGAAAAAGAAAAAAATGTTCTTCATGACTAATAATTTATTGTATTTGTCGATATTTGCCCATTGAAAATAATGACCTGGTCACAGTGACTGACTTGTAGAAATCGAAAATTATAAAAATAGACAAAAATATTTTCGCTAAAAAGTCATCCCAATATCTTAAAGCAAAAAAAATGAAAGACAAAAGACCTCGAATGTTTGTAATGTTGACAAAAGAAAAAATGATTTGTATTTGCAATAATTCACGTGTTCTGTTCTGATCTCATATCTCATCATTTTAGCGTAAATAAAAACCACTAAAAATATATTAATAATTACTCGTATTTCGACCATTAACAAAAAAAGTTACTTAAGCTGTTCATCAAAAATGTTTGGAAGGCGAAACAATTATTTTCTTGCTTAGGAAAATACAGGTACAAAATTGTGTGTAAATTTATTTACAATTACTTTATACATTAATACCACTTAAAAAGACCAATAAGTATGTTTTCGGGAGAGAGAGAGACACTTAGAACTGTAAAAAGTTAATTTAGAAATTAAAAATAAATAAAATATTAATATAATGATTTACATTAATAAATGAACAAACTTACCGCTAAATAAATTATACCGGAAGTTGTTTGACTTACGGTGTTAAAGATAAAATTCTCACTCTGAAAAAAAATGTCAGTTTGCAAGTACATTTTTATCCAAACTAGGAAACAAATAAAAATTTTCGTCTGTTTCTAAACTATATTAAATTTAAAACAAAACGAAATTGAAATAATCAATGTATGTGTTGATCGTTGGTGACTTCTTGAAGAACTGTCTTTATAATTCAGATGTTAACTGATAGAGAAAAAATAAAAATACAACGGAAATAAAAATAAATTTAAATTTTGTTGGTCCGCTACTTGTTTACTTTAGTTTAACAAACTCGAACGTTTATAATTTTATATATTTTTTAACTGTGATAATGGATATTTTTTAATTACGTATTTTGAAATGAAGATATTGAATGATTTCAGAAAATTATTTGTTTTAATTTTCACACGAAATTTGACTACAAAGCTTCTTAAATAATTTATTAGACGCCATCGATTGATCCAGAAAATAAATGTTAAATCAAAATTTTATAAAAATATGTAATTTTGGGGTCAGGGTGGATAGTGGAAAGGTAAAAATAAAATCAAAAACAGAATGAATGACTTTATTCAAAGTTTATATTAAAAAGAAATTAGCAGTTAATAAAACAAAAAAAAAACAATTACTCTATTGTTTTTATAGAAAAAACAATTACTTTATTGTTTTTATAGAAGCAAATCACCAAACGGCTTCCGATTGAATCATCAGAATGACACGATTTACAAGAATCACGATCTCATGAAAAATAAATAATGAAGAGTTGCCTCCCTTACATCGAGCACAATCAATCTTATCGAATGAGAAGTGGTTTAACTTGTTATTTGAATAATTTCGTTTTCGTTTAATTGCTCATTGTTCCATTAGTGGAAAATATTTTAAAAATATTCTTTTAATACTAGACGAGCATTAATTTTATGTTAACATGATGCGTAGACATATATTTTATTTTAGTCTTTTCTATTAATAAAATAATAAAAATTATTAATGTTCGTTCAGTTATTTCACGAGTGGAACAATAGGCAATAAAACATTAATGCAGATATTTACCTGGCCTAGCTTCATCCGGCATAATGGCAAGTAATGTGGTAGTGGGAGGCATTATACTGAACTAATCTTGCAAGTAAAGAAGACCTGTCTTCTTTGAAAATCTGCATTAAACATCTGGTTACTAAGTTTCGAACATTGATCTTTGGTACCAATGAGAAATATGCAGCGTAGCAAGCAGACCTACAATATTTTGAAAAAGTAAATCATCTGAGTTAAACCGTAGACACGAATGACTGAGATGATAGATATTAGATATAATGGCACTCTTCCCTAGTTTTATTTTTTATCAGGGCTAGAAGCTTATTCCTTGTTTCCTATTTAGGATTGGGGTTCTAGTTCCTTCTAAAGTCTTATCATTCTCTTTCATTTACAGTACCCTTGTTTGAGGTGAATTGACTGCCAGTTTCATACGCGTTCGCACAATCATCAGGCGGCCAGTAACTGTAATATGGGAGTATAAAATTTTTTATTAACGAATGTGAACTCCACAAACAATCAGACTAATGAGCCACATAACAAAAAAACTCATAATCTGTATTCTGATAAATAGAGCGCTCAGCAGAATCAGGCCAGAGATAGGACAAGAACAGTACGACTTCATTAAAGACATCGGAACAAGGAACGCGATATCCATGCTCAGAATGTTATCAGAAAGAGCAATAATGCAGAAGGACGTGCATTTGTTTTTAATAGACTACGCAAAGCTGTTCAACAAAGTACGCCACAAGGTTCTGTTGGAACTGCTCAGCAACCTTGATATATTTAGGAAATATATTTAAATAATCAAGAACGTATACTGGCAGCAAACGGCCTGCATGCGGATAGAGAATGCGTTCAGCAGATATACAAAAAAAGAAAGGGGCGTAGGGTAAGGATGTGTCTTCTCACCGGACTTATTCAACCTATACAGCGATGCAATTCTGAGACAATTAGAAGTGCTAACAGGATTCACCATTGGCGGCCACAATCTTAACATCGTAAGATACACAGATGACACAGTGCTGATAGCAGACGCAGAAAAGAAATTATAAAACCTCCTACAGTAGTCAGCGAAGGAGAGCGAAAAGGGACTAAGCATGAACTACAAGAAAACAAAATGCATGGTCATCAGTAAAAAGTTGAGCCCGAAATGCGATTTACAGGTCGGGGACACTAAAATCAAGCAGGTGCGGAAATTTAAATATCTGGGAAGTGTTTAGATAGAGAGGACGGTAAGTGCGACGCTGAGATCCAAAGACGTATTGGGATGGCCAAAGACGCATTCTAGAAGCTAGGCAGAGTATTACGAGACAGGAGGATTTAGTTGGTAACAAAGAAAAGCGTACTGAAATGATACATGATATTTGTCTCTTTTACGGCAGCGAATGTTGAACTGTCTCCTCGAGGCAACGGAGGTATGGTTCCACAGAAAGATACCATGGATCGAGCAATGATAAGGTTTTGGAGAGGATTCAAACAGCGAGGCGGCTTATACTTAACACCAGGAAGAGGCAGCTGAAATTTCTGGGATACGTAATGAGAAAGGAGGTCTTGGAGAATTTATTACAGCGCGGATAGAGGGAAAGAGAGACAAGGCAAAGCAAGTGGATGGCAGAACAGTGTTTGGGAGAAGTAGCAAAAAGACAAAAGATATTGAGAACTACAAGGGATAGGGGGAAGTGGAGAGCCATGATCGCCTACGTCCTGAAGGGACACAGTACATAAAAGAAGAAGAGTTCCTATTTTCACAAACTATGACTACCGACCGCCTGATGATTGCATGAAAGCGTATGAAACTGGCAGTCGTGGTCGGTCACTTCATTTTCCTTAGGAATCAACAGAATACTTTCAAAAGTAGTGACAAATAAAATTGATAATAACTAGAAAGGAAAATGATGATATAATCAAGATGTCGATTTTTCACACAAGCAAGAACCGCTATCAATACCAGAGAGAGTAATAACAGTTACTGAACTAGAGACGCCTATTTTCCTAAAAGAACGCTTTTAAAGGAAAGTTTTCTTTTATAAATTTCAACCGAAAGTAACGCTAACTGTTCGGTCAAAGAATGTCCAAGATTTCCTCATAAGAAAACGGTTATTCTTACCATTACTTTCATAGGTCAAAATGAAGATAAGATAAAGAACAAATAGGAAATGTTTATCAATCTAACATGCTTCACTTTTTTAAAGCTTCGTCAGAGATTGAGACAAAAAGCAAGAATTTTGGTATTTTAAATTTTGTGTGGTGCGATTCTCATTGGTCTGTCATGTATCACGTGCATTAAAACCGTAGATAATTCTATATGTATATAGGTTTGTGAGGATTCTTGTATGTCTAAGGGGGCATCGAATGGTAATGTGCATACATAATTGTGTATGTATGTATGTCTAGTAGGAGAGAATTCTAATGCTTTCACTTTTGTGTGGTCAGTCAGCGTAGCGGGGTGTTATTCTATGAATCTGGGACTGTTTTTATGTACACACTGTTTGTATTATATATATATATATATATATATATATATATATATATATATATATATATAAATGATATATAATATAGTACATTGAGTGCTGGTGGTAATAAAATAGTGCTCAATGTAGAATAACAGAGCTATAATTTATATATTAATAATAAATACATTTTTCTCACCATTAGTAAGTACAACGCAATCTTCAGGTACTGATTGAAAACTCTCTCTCTCTCTCTCTCTCTCTCTCTCTATATATATATATATATATATATATATATATATATATAAAAGTGAACATAGAAGTCAACACTTAGAGGCGACAGTCTGTTTCATGCTATATGCAATCGTCAGGCCACATATGCTGTTATTTTTCTCGGCTATTTATATATATACGGGTTAGTGGTGCATTGTGGGTATTCTATTATGGCGGTTATTTTTTACCGGAAGTCGCTTTGTTTTATTTATTTGGGTAAAATTATATTGCCGTTTTTTTTTTTTGTTTCTTATTTTATATATTTATTTCTTAACGTAGTAAAAATTGTTTATATCACGTATTTAACAGTTTTGTTTTTGGTTTGAGAATTTAATTCAAAATATTTGTTCAATTTTCAAAATTTGTTGTTGTAGTTCATTCTAACTCTTCATTTTTTGGCGGGGTGCAGTTTTTAATTTGGGATTGGTTTGTTCTATTTACTTGGATGAATTTAGGTCAATTTATTTTATAATTTTACTTTTCGGTTTTCGGTTTTAAAAAATATAGTATTTATTTATTTATTTTATTTTATTTTTATTAGTGTATTTGTTTTTTTTTTATTTTTCCGTTTTTCATTTTTTAGGTTACGTAGTAAAATTTATTTTCATGCCTGCATTTTGAGATGAGCTCGGATCTTTTTTTAATAATTTATTTTGGTCGGGGAAAGTAATGATAGCTATTTTTTTCCTCCAAGCAAAAGTTTGCAAGTTTTTGATTGGTTGTTGTAGGCTGATGACTTTTTCCTTATCTTCCAAGATATTTTGGTGTGATGTGCGTTTTGTTTTTTATTTCCCAGATATACTTAGAAAGCATAGTACTGTTCGCATATTTACTATTTGTGAACGATGTTTTGTGTGTATAATTTCTTTGTTCCAGGGTCTTTCAGTTACTCCTATGTCTACTTTTTTCTTCATTATCTGGTGATTTTATCGTAGCTTGGTATATTACGTTGTTTTGTAAACAATTTCCGTTTAAGGGACATTCGTTCTTTATTCTGCAGTTGCACGGGGTTTAATTTGTTCGTGTGGTTTGTTGATAATTTTCCTATTGTGCTTTTTTATTATTTGTGCCATGTCTCGGTGCAGCTGTAGCTGATTTTACTGTGTTTTTGTTGAATATCTTGTGTAAGGTGCTTGATTCTGGGAAGTGTTTGTGTAAGAGTTTGAAGAATATTTTCCTACGTTTGTTTTTACGTTCTTGCTGTACGGTGGGTTGAACCATATGATATTTCTTCTCCTGTTGGTCTTTTTTGTATTCTGTGGTGAATATGTGAGTATTGCTGGGAATCCGCTATTTTTACTACGTTA